AGTGCTAGAACATTAGTGAATAACGGGAAATTAATAATCAGGGAGACAGTGGGTGAGAGGTTGAACCTCTTCTCTGTTTTACAGGAAGGAATAAAAGCAGGGGAATAACAGAACATTAACGGGAACCCAGTTAAGAACTTGAGTGGAAACTGTCAGCAGGAAAGATGTACAACAGAACAAAAAGGTAGGAGGATATTGGTTGGGATTCCCATATGAATAGGGCATTGTGCTCCAGATTTGCTGAAATATGTGCCCAAAAAAAGGTCACAGAGGGCTGTTGGGAATTGGATTAAGGGTCAGACGACTTTCAATTCTGTTAATAGTCGTTGTAGTCTCGTGGTGCAAGTACTGGACACGTAAAGGGCCATGGAACCTCTGGCTTGGTTCGAATTCTTCAGGGGTGAGGAGTTTTTTTTGTTGCGCGCGCGCGCACGCGCGCACACACACACACGCGCACTACGGCGGGACCAAAGAGCCAGAGCTCAACCCCGCAAACACAACTAGGTGAGTACACAGGGCCCTGGTAGCCTGGTGGATAGGGGGGGGGCTTGGTAGCCTAGTGGATAGCGCGCAGTACTCTTAATTCTGTGGCGCGGGTTCGATTCCCGCACCAGGCAGAAACAAATGGGCAAAGTTTCTTTCACCCTGAATGCCCCCGTTACCTAGCAGTAAATAGGTACCTGGGAGTTAGTCAGCTGTCACGGGCTGCTTCCTGGGTTGTGTGTGTGTGTGGGGGGAAAAAAAAAGGAAGTTAGTAAACAGTTGATAGGCGGGCCAAAAGAGCAAAGCTCAACCCCAGCAAAACAACTAAATAAATACACCCACACCTATAATTATATATTTTTTTTGTATTTCAGAAAAACTCTTGACCCCTGAAGGATTCTAACCCTGTCAGCCATGGCCTCCATGCCCCTTCGCGTGTCCAGTACTATAACCAGTTAACTAACAGAATGTTCAAAAATATTGGAAAGTCATCTGACTTAACCCTAATACCCGACAGAGCTCGTGACTATTTTGGGCACAGATTTCATCAAATCACTTCACTACTCACGCTGGGGCCGCATGAGTAACATTGATGCGACAAGCTTGAATGGTCCACAAGCTAACATACAGCAGAAAATTTGAAGGGATTTGATGAAATCCTTAGAGTCTCATCAACTAACAACCCAGCGGGTTTTCTTCCTATTGGGGAGTGTTGTACATGCTGCTATGGCGGTATGTCCACTCAAGATGAGTGGCGCTGCCCAATAAACTCGCCCCTCTGGGCAAAATTTAAAAATTTACTCCCTCCCTCTCTGCTGGCTTCGAAGTTCTCAGCAACTCCTTCCCCAGACAATCCTGCAACCCATCGACACGCTAATAAAAATGTTTCACTTGACATCTTTCTGCTTTCTATATGCTGTGAGGTGACTCCCCCACGTTTGGGCTGGTCCATTTTCTCCCCTCCCTAGGAGCTCTCCGCTTCCCGGGCGGCCCTCTCACTCAGTCGCCCACCAGCGGTCAGAGTGGATGGATGTCGCTACGCTCTCCAGGGCGTTCCTCCATCTTTACTCTCTTATTTTGGCCTTCCGCCTCATCAAAATATGCCTAACATATCAATAAACATTCGCTACGGTCACTGGGCACACGACCAACTGCAGACAATCACTGTAAACTGGTTAAAATTGTGCTTACCACAGTGTTAGTTGTATAAGGGTGCGCCCTGGCCCCAGCGTTGGACGTTGGCGCACTCCTCAGCCCACAAAAGTGCCATTTAAACTTCTCTACAGGGCTTTTATCCTTCCCAACTTGAGCACGAAGTCGTCTCCAGGCTTCACACAAGAACCCCTGAATAATTCTCCTCTTGACGGAGCACGTAAATAGGGTTTCTTCCCTCTACTACCAGGAGCTTAAAGACACAACATCCACCTTCCACGACTTCCCCTACTCGAGTAAGGTCAAGGCCCCTGACACGAGCCTCATGCCTTCCTCACAAACTTTCGACATCTCATGTCAAGTCATTTATGTACACATTTATTCACTGCCCATGCTTTTAACTGTTTGCCAAATCTAATCGAATGTTTACTATATACATTCACATGTCTATGTGTCTTTGACCTCTTATTTAGGTCAGGTCTTGCAGAATAACTCTCAAGGTAGACTCGTTTTTTAGCTACCTGAGATCGTAACAGAAGACAGTGTTAACTGACACACAAAAACATGTACTATCTATAGTAAGCAATCTTGGATTACTTCACTTGGATTGTGTAATATTTTATCCCATAATAAATGCTTGGACATTTGAAAAACATTAACGATAAGAGTAGTTTCTAAATTCTTCAATTTTTTTCATATTCAATTACATAATGCTGTAGGGCATGTGAAGAGTTGTGTTGTCACGAGGCTCGTCAAAACCAATCTGAAGTTAGTTGCTAATCAACTCCTTTGAAAGCATGGGTTTTGACTCATTTCTCAACCCGTTCTCCTAATAGCACGTCGCACTATTGACGCATACTTAATCTAATCGAAGGTCTGTTTGGCGTACGACAATGTACGCCAAACATTGTCAATGGGGCACAATAAACGATCACTCACAGATGGGTATGGGGCACAATAAACTATCACTCACAGATGGGTATGGGGCACAATAAACTATCACTCACAGATGGGTATGGGGCACAATAAACTATCACTCACAGATGGGTATGGGGCACAATAAACTATCACTCACTGATGGGTATGGGGCACAATAAACTATCACTCACTGATGGGTATGGGGCACAATAAACGATCACTCACAGATGAGTATGGGCACAATAAACGATCACTCACAGATGGGTGTGGGGCACAATAAACTATCACTCACTGATGGGTATGGGGTACAATAAACTATCACTCACAGATGAGTATGGGCACAATAAACGATCACTCACAGATGGGTATGGGGCACAATAAACTATCACTCACTGATGGGTATGGGGCACAATAAACTATCACTCAAAGACGGGTATGGGGCAAAATAAACTATCACTCACAGATGGGTATGGGGCAAAATAAACTATCAAAGACGGGTATGGGGCACAATAAACCAACCCCAACTATTAGGAACAATCAGCAAATGTAAGTAACACCGAAATATTGTTGCGATTATATATCATTATGAATAAAGTATCATTACATTACATTCTGCCCGAAACGCTTTGCGTAATAGTGGCTTTAGGCATTGTATATACTAGCTCTATCTATAAATTCATCAATATCTGTATCACCCCTTGTATGTATGTACTTTACCCAAATAAACATTTGAATTTTTTTAAATTTTGACATAGAGGCGCGGCCTCTGTGGGCGCACGTGGGTGCTGCGCCAACTACTGCGTAGTGGGGCCGAGGGCCCACCTGTTCATCTCAGGTCTCTCACGTATTGTTTCTCTGACGACTATGTGAATTGTTCACGAAAAATTGTCTTAGCGACAACGTACACTCAATATTTTGTCTATTATTTATTTATTAACATTTTATACTTGAGCAGGTCCGGCTCACAGTCATTGAATATGATTTTACAATGATTACCATATAAGATACTGCTTTTTTTTAATCATCTGACATACGTAAGAGACACTTATAGGTTTCTTGGAATTGGAGTCTGGAGTTGTCACAGTTGTGGGCCTTTTCATAACCATACATTCCATACATGTGTTGAGCGTAAGTCAGGTGTTTCAAGAGAAATTGGCTGAGAGGGTTAAAACTGAAGTATGTCAGCTGGCCACCGAATCAGAACTTATTTATAACCATTTATTTTCTCTTGTACTGTATCTGTACAACATATTCTGTCTTTTCTATACATAATTTTTTGTTTACTTGCCTAAGGTTTTTTGAAAACTTTTCAAATGAGTGGTGAGTTTCCTCCACTCATTTACTGTATAACTATTGCCAAATAAGTTCTGACCCCTTGTCCTTGATAATGGTTGCAACAAAGAAATCAAAGGGTCGTGCTAAATGGGAATGAATCTGAATGGAGAAATGTGGTAAGTGGGGTACCTCAGGGGTCCAATTTGGGGCCATCCCATTTTGTCATATATTGTACATTAATGACATAGATGAGAATATTACCAACTACATCAGAAGATATTACAAACCACATCATCAAATTTGCAGATGACACAGATATATGGTAAAGTAGGAAATATTATTATTATAAAATATTAGTATTATAATAATATTGAAGTCTTACAAAGAGATCTACATGAACTCCACAAATGGTTTGGCAAAGGCTTTTTAATATCGACAAATGCAAGACCTTGCCTATGGGGCATAACAACCATCGTGGATCCCAGTTGAGTTCCACATTACTCTTGAAAATGTATTGGTATTCCTGTTACTAATGTTTCTAGATATAAAACTAAATGTTGTACCCCAATGCCATCGCCTTTTATGGTTTAACTGATAATTACTTCCAGAAAAATTTGCACGCTCAATATTATCAGGTCATTATCTTGAAATTTTCCTTTAAGAATTGGTTTAAAGTTTGCATATGTTTGTTGTAAATTGTAGATAAATGAATTCATATTTAAGCCAACCTAGATTGTGATGCTGTTTTTAAATGTTATATAAACAAGCATCCCCCTTTCACCCAACTTGAGTTTAAAGATTAATGTGAACATATTCATCTAATAGGGCCTATCTACATCTCTATACTCCACCCAACCCTACCATCACTGTGAGCACAAACCAACACAATTATCACCACCACGTTCTTATAATCTGTGTAATAAGTTACAAATAACATTATGGAGGGGAAGCACACTGTAAATTTTCAAATACAAGTTGAATAATTATAGTACTGTACTTGAATGAGAGTGGTTGGTTATAAATAGAACTTGCCTTGCATGGGCCCTTCTGCAGATTTATGTATTGTTATGTTCTTTAAGCTAAGCAAGAGAGTGGTGATGCTGTAATCACACAAAGCTAATATTGTAATTAAAATTGCCATAAATTTGTCACTGAATGTATTTTTATTGCAGAAAAAGAACCGCACCAGCACAGTTTCTCGAGCCACTGCTGAAGGTGAAGCATTGTTAAAAGAGATGGGATTTGAGGATAAGGAAACGCCTGGTCGGAGAAGAACCAGGGCAGCTATCAGGGGGGATGTTTATACTCCTCCAACCAAAAAAGAAAGGAAGGCAGCAGCTACACCAGGAAGTGAGTAACATTTTAAAATGATTATCTACTTCATTACTGTATGCAAATGAGTATGGGTGGACCTTTGACAATCTGTCGTCTTCCTGTCCTCGTCGAGGCCACTCGTATTAGTGACCCTTAGGTAAATTCAGTATATTTGTGAATTAATCAGTCATACCTAGGTTGTATTTTGAATTACTCAAATACAATATGCAAGATGCTTTAATATCTTATAATACAATAAACTTTGCAAGAAAGAAAATAACTGTTACAACGGCAGAGCCAGTGATCTTTATTGGCCTTCCTGTTTCCTTGGCACTTTCAGCATAAGAATGTGCTACTGTAATATCTTCTCAAAAGAGAAAATCAATAGGAGCCATGAGGAGGATTTGAACCTGCGCAGAGTACTCCCAAGCACATACTCTAGACCACATTATGCTCAAAAGCAATGCAACCTGGAATTCAACTGAATCCTCAAGGGTCCCAAGACTTCCACTGAAACTAAGTCAGGGTTTCACACATTGCCCGCATGAACTGTGGCTGTGCTATGAGATGCTTTTCTTGAAATGCACAAAAAAATCACATTAATGTGATGTATCAATGATAAAATCAGTAGGAGCCATGAGGATTCAAACCTGGAGGTGGAACTCATATACTACAGCCAGAGTGCATGTAAGCAATGTGTGAAACCTTGAATTCGTTTTAGTGAAAGTCTCAGGACCCCTAGAGGATTCAATTTATCCTCCCACACATTTGTGACCCAAATGTGTAGGAGTGAAGTAGGAAGTTGTTCTCTCTCAAACATATAGTGTGGCAAAAGTGCTTATGAGTGTGTGTGAGTAGGAGTGGGTGTCTGTGGTGGAAGCAGGCTGGTTAAGACATCTGGTACGTCAGGTGTTTTCTGAGAGTGCCACCAAAGGCACTAATGTCGCCGGTGGTGACCAGAAGCGACAGTGATAACAGTCTTAAACTCATGCACAATGGGTAGTTGTGTGGAGGGCCAGAAGACAGGTGACCAGATGTAGATTTTGGGGGGTTGAGTTATTGGCTAAAGCAATTGAGGCAGGCAGTATTATCCTGCACATGAAACTGGACAAGTCTCTCCAGGATGGACAGACCCCCCTTGAGCAGGAGCTCAATCAGTGACGAATGTCGCAGGTCCCAGGGTGGATGGGTTAATCCGCCCTCAGGCGGTGGGTGGTGGTATTACCGGATGGCCATCAGAATACAGGGAGACCAATGGCCATCCCACAAACTTGCACCTTGTTAGGGCAGAATCAGAGAGCTGGTATATGATAAAGTCCCTAATAGCTGCAAAGGGCTTGCTAGTTCCTGAAGGGTTGACCAAGTAGGAAACATCAGGCACTGGCTGCTCACCAAATAAAAAGACTGAAACCAGCCTATAGACACAGGCAGCTGTTAAAGGCATAGACAGTGCACAATAAAACTAGCACACAGCACCCTGAAATGGAAACCCTAGACTGCGTCCATCCACAAAGCCTTGCAATGAAGTCAAGACCCATACACAGCTGAGGGTGAGGCACCACTCAACAGAGAGCCAGCCTTTTAGAGACAGCTCCCGAATTCACCAATGATGATAACTCTGGCCAGGCAGGGACAACACCAACAAACACCTAGGTATAATCACTCAAGGCACTGCAGTTTGAGAGGGACAGATAATCAGTCACACACAAGAAGTGTGGCATAAAAAATATACATCATGAAGCAAACATTATAGCATGGAACAAGTACACAAGCAAATGACCCATGGGGTGAGAATACTGTAGCTTGAGATACCTCAACTAGTTACGTGTATTTATGCTTCAAGAAACTTATGTCAGTTTCAATTTAAATTTCAATGGCCATCACAGGACAGAAGTGCCCAGGATGGCAGGAACGAGGAGCAAAATCTACAATGGCATTTGCCATGCATGCTAGGGAAAAAAGCTGATGGGTCAAGGTTGGGAACTAAGTAGCTAGATGTGTGGCAGCCTGATGGCATGCAGGTTAACTAGCAAGTGAACTGATTCATTGAGTAGTTCATCTCGGTGCCCTGTTTTCAGTTTTTTTTTTACCTAGCCCTACTGAGTGTCTGTATTGTCTTGCTCCCATTTCTGGTGTCTTTTTCTTGGTATGTATGATCAAGTTCCCTGTGCCACTGTAGAGGGGGGTAAAATTTTGTCCTCTGGTCCCTGGTAGGCTTGTAATGACTTGCAAGGGTATGAATTGGATTAACTGGGTGGAGTTATCCAAGTAGTTAAACACCAAGGAGCCTCCAGAGGAGTCCTCCCAGAAAAACTAATTTCATGACCCATTAATCATTGAAGGTGAAGCAAAGACCCAATATGTGCATAAATGTATTATAAACCAAATTTTCAGATGTAACCTACATCCTTTCTCAAGGTAATGTATACAATGTTCTGAACAAGATTCTAGATGTTTTCATTTATACATCTGGCTGAGTGCCTCACTTGGCGACCATCATTAGATGTCGTTGTGATTATGCTTCCTTGGGATGTTGAAGTTTCAGAAGAATGCTCAATAATCACGTTTCCTAGGAATTGCGGGCAGGGTTCCACGGAATTCCATATCATGTTAGTGTGAGTTTTCTGTGTATTTGATGTTAAAGCATGTGGTGCATGAACTATGTTACCTACAAGGGTGCTTGGGGTCATACATAAAACTTGGATTGGCTTCAGGAGGGGATTGCAGACTTCCTGTGATTTCAGTAGAAAATCCAGTTGTGTGACTTCTTACCAAGTCAGGGTGGTCCAGTGGTTAGCGTTAGTGGTTGGGGATTTTCTCGGTTGCAAGTTCGAGTCACCTCAGAGCTCCAGTTGATTTTCTCATTGATATACTGTATATGATGTTAGTGTGATTTCGCTGTGTAAATAATATTTATACCTTGAAAATATTATAAACATAGGGAAGCCTGAATTACTAATACAATAAGGATGATACAGGTAATAATAATAATTATAGTAATTATTAGTAATACTGTAATTAGAAATGCTTTCCATTCACCTGGGCTCAAGGCGACTCGAACTGTGGGCCAAAGCTCTATTGGCTGTAGAAATAAACATTTCATTCCCCTCCTCCTCATTTTACCTCTGAAAAACTGAGGTGTACTAATGTAGTGTATCAATACAAATGCCACTGGAGAACTAAATGACATTAGTTTTATTATTTTATTATATTAGACAATAGTTACCTTATTCATTGTTGATAATTTCAACTTCAATTATATCTAGAACTAGAATTGCAACTTTGAGTCAGCTTCTAAAATCCAGTTTTTGACCAATTCTCATCATTTTTACATATACTGTAGTGCGCAAAGCTGTCTGTTCCACAATTTTGTCTTGTGGATTTAGCATAAACCCCTAAACATTTGGAGTTAAAAATTTATTTGTCTAAATTTGGAGCATACTGTACTGTATTTCAAATGCCTTATTGACAAATTTGTTTACAGTAAACTACACTGAAAAACTGAATTCTACAATGATTCAAATGAAGATCACATGTTATTCTGAGAGCATAATAACACCAAATGAACAATTGGTGATATTTTGTATTTTTGAAGCTGATTTGAAAATCTGAAATTATCCATATTAAATTTTATAATTATTTTTATTTTCTTATTTTTTCATGTTATGTTGGTGATCCTTTAGACAAAGTTGGAGCATTTGCCTAGTAGATTATGCAACAAATTTTTTTTAAAGTATTTGAGGAAGTTTGAGAAACTGAGTCCCTGGCCCCTTACGGGAGTTAGGCGAATCGTAGTGTGAGGTAAACACATATAAACACACATAAATGTCTAGATTTTTCCTTGTAAGCTGATGGGATTATGGGATACTCATGCCATATGGCTTATGGGATACTCATATCCGTGCCACCAATAATTGGGTGGCTTAATCTTCATCAGTCAATCTTGTAAGCTCATTATAGATGTGTCAGTTTAACAGTGTACTCCTGAAGATGTCACATTGCTGATGAAACATTGAACAATAAAAATGGAAAGATTAACTTAGAATAGATTAGGTTTCATAAAATTTGTGTTAGTTTTGAATCAAAGTAAACAAAATTAAATCATATGAAATGTAATGGAACACTATCATTCCATACGAAAAGATATTTGAAAAATATAATATTTCAGGAAATTTGGCTTTTTTAGGCAACTTGGTCCATTAGGTACAACATACATATATATACAGTTTTTTTTAAACATAACCTGCCTCCTCATGCTTCGAGTGCCAAACTTTACACATGCTACAATAAATTCTCTAACATATATTTGCTAATACAGTAATCTATACAGTTTTATGCCATCAGGAAGACAGAGTTATAAGAGATTATAAATCCATCATAGGAAATATAACTAATTAGAGAACAAAGATACACATTTTAATGAGGGTATGTTGCTGTCTGTTGAATTACGCAAACCAACTCAGTTCGTAAGAATTCTTAAGAAAGTTCTTAAGAACTTTCATAATACAATCATTTAAGAAGAAATACATGACATTTACTGAATCTAAGTCCAGATGTAGAAGCTCAGTCAACAAATAAATCAACAAAAAAATTGTACTACTGTATACCAAAACATTCATATTTTTTTTTTTAGGTGGGCGCAGAGGCCGACCTCCAAAGAAGAGTGAAGAGAAGAAGGAGGAACATGTTGATAATGAGGAAGAGAAAAAAGAAGAAGTTGAGGAAGAGAAAAAAGAGGAGCCCACAACTGAAGAGTCTAGTGCTGATGGAGAAGCTGAAGAGGAAAAGACTGAATGAAGAGACTACAGTGGAGCTGTGGTACAAATGTTTACCTGATGGTGAGAAATCAATTACAACTTAGTACATTTACACAATAAGTTCAACCATATTTTAAATGCTTAACAAAACTGTTGTACTTTCACTTTCCACTTATCCTCAATTTCTTCATATATTTTTATTTTCCTTCTGTTTTATATAGTTCCTTGCAATTACTTGAGAATGGCTTTGTATATTGATAAGTAGGCAGGTAGGCTGCAAATTGCTTCCTGTGCAAATCCAATTAACCACAAAGGATACGTTCAAGATCTGTGAAAAGTTGTAGTTTTATCCGAAGGACAGAACCCTAGCGGTAAGCCTGACACCCCACTATGATACCTAACCAGTCCCTGAACCCTGTATGAATTGGGATGTGCCAATTTGTGTCCTTGAGGTCTAGGAACACCATCCAGGAATCTCTGCCTATAATACCAGGCAAAGCTGAACCAAGGTGGTCATGGGAAGGTTGGACAGGGAATGTTGTTTAATCCAGACAAATCGAGGATGTACCGTACATCAGCCATGTCCAGCATGGAGATTGGAAACAACTGGGACACCCGCCTTAGAGATGCTCAAGTCCATCCATTTCATGATGACCTCGCTCAGCTGTTTGAAAGTCCTGACCTAAAGTCCAGAACCCAGGAGAGGAGGGAGGGGAAGAGATGAAGCAACTCTACCAAAGGCTATGGGAGACAACCCAAAAGGGTCCCCCCCCCCCCCCATGGGGAAAGGAGGAGGGGGCATTTAGGGGGTTCAGCCATCAATGAGTTAAACTATGAAAGTGCCAGTTCAATCCAGGAGCAGCACCGTCCCTCTGTGATGCAGAATGGATGGCTGAATGCAGTTGGCTCTTCTGCTTGGCAGAAGAGCCAACCAATCAACACTGCTAATGCTGAATCCCCGGGATGTGTCCACTCACGAGGGTGAAGCAAGGGGAACCACCAAACACAAACAACCCTAGTATAAAGGGGGGAGGAACACCAAGGCAGACCCCACACCAGGCAAAAATAAAAAGAAAAGAAAAACCGTGCAAGAGGACAGCGTACCCAGTGGGAACAGAGCCGGCTGCTGTTATAGGTGAAAACTAGCTGCGCAGTACCCCGCACCCCTACCAGTGCAAAAACTACCACTTACCCCAAGGCAACTAAGGAGGAAACCTCCCAAAACACTTGGGGAAGTCAATCACTAAGCAGCAAAAGACCAATAGAGGTAGACCCAAGGTGACTTGTGGAAGGGAACCCCAAGCCCCTAGGGCGGTACTAACAGGGCACTCAGGGAAGATGACCCTAAGCACGTGCAGTCCAAGTACCTGTGAATATTACTCCCAGCTTGCACACCACCGTAAGAGCAGTACTCAAACAGAGGACAGCACAACAAGAGTCCAGAGCTGGAGCCACAACAACCAAGCCGTATCCCATCAGCTGAAGAACTGCGGAGTGGATCGCCGGCACGGGGGTCTGGGGCTCCAGCCATGTCACATATCTGGAGCTGTGCAGACATGTGGCATGGCTCGTGTGACGACATGCCTGTTTGCTCGTTTTCAGTTGGGGAGTTCTGTCTACTCGTTTGTCTAATTTTGTCGTTTTTAACCAGAATAGGGGTTTGTTTTGTAGCGCTTACCTTTCTGGGTGCCTGTCCTGGTCGATGGCAGATATAGAATGCTCCAAAATCACATGTGCATTTCTATAGGCCATTGCTCCTCATGCCTCTCTGAGGGGGCCAGGTTCTGGCTCATGGTCCCCAGTAGGCCTAGATCGCCACCCACATTGATTGATGCCAAAGTTAGGGGTATCCATATCAGCCTCGATTGCTCCAGGACTCGCCCAGAAAATGACGTTTCATTACATTCAACGCTGGTTTATTTGCTACCTGGCGACGATCATTCTTTCTGCTTCCACTATGACGCCTGCTGGATCAGTTACACCTATGACCATGAGTCTTATGGAGTTTGTTCTCACTGGGTCTCTGCCCTTACTGATTTGACTTCAGGTTTGGAAGCCTTCCAGACAGCTGCCTAGCTTTGCAAGCTAGGTTTTCTTGAGTTAGGCATTTACAGCATATTGATTATCTAGATGTCTCAGAGATGGCCCTTATGTTGTTTAACACTTTCGCCCGGGCATGATGCAGCATTGCATCATCCGTTTACTGTCGGTAATGCCGGGGATGACGCAACATTGCGTCATCCACTTTAAATAATCGCCAAAAATCAGGTTTTTATCCGATTTTTTGGGGACTGGTTTTAAAATGCGTGCCGATGTCTTCCCATTTTCTTTGTTGAGCCTCGTGGCCCTCAGGCGGCTTGGCACACGCCGTGGGCCCATTGTTTTCGCTCCACTGTTGTGACCAATGTCGCCTCCCCTCGCATCTCAAACGTGTGAACATTTCGGCTATTTTCCGTGGCTATATTTCTTACTGCGGCTTTAGAAACTATCTATGCTTACTCCACGATGGATAGTGATCATAAACAAGGCCCTTCCAGGAAGAAAATTGCGAAAGAAAGGCTTGAAAAGGGCGGGAATTGGGAGTGTAGCTGGAAGGCGTCTGAGCGCTCACTTGCGGCTAACGCGTGGCCCGTCTTCAACTCGTCGGCGGTTGGAGCGTGACCAGGTTTTTTATTTTATATGCTAATGTTCCTCTAGAGAATTCTATTGCGAACCCATTGAGACCAAAATGAAAGACCTAGGACGAAAATTGAGGTGACCAGAGTGAAAATAGTGAAAGCATTTTATTGCGTTTGCGCGCTCCTGGGTAACTCGTTCGCACTTTCTCTGTTTGCTGCGGGTAATTAGCCGGGCTTTTGGAGTTTATATGCATTTAGTCCTATAGAGAATTCTATTGCGAACACAATGATACCAAATTTAATCTCGTAGGACGAGAATTAAGGTGACAAAGTTGAAGAGAGTATACACTTTTCAGAATTTACACGCGCTCCCATGACACCCTGGGTCCCATATCGCACAGTTGAGGGGTGGGGCGCGGGGTACGCCAAAGTGTTAAGTACCCAGAATTTGAAGTGCTGGTGACCATCTAGACTAAGTCAACTCCTCTCTTGCTTCCCGCTGTGGGTGTGGTTCACCCTGCTTCTGGTCGTCACTTTCCCCCTTCTGGTTCCAGTTGCATAGCATCCGATGGTCTTGGAGTCGGGTCAAGGTTTAATGCGGGAGTGTAGCTTGGTCATGTGTGAGACTTGTCACACATGCAACTTGATAATGGTCCAAGACGGACTAAAACGTCATCGTTTCTCCCTCCTCTGATGTGTGGTTTGGTCATCTTATGATGATAACCATATTCACATAGGTTATCATTATGATACCAGATGTTGGTCGTGTGTGTGTTCAGTAAGGATTCGAAAGTCGTTAGAAACCCAATTGTTTCTTGTGTCTGTAATTAACCAGTCAGTGCCTTAAGCTAAAGAAAGTTAATGAGGACTCTGCACAGAAAGTAGCATTTCATTATATTATATGCTCATTTTCCCCTCCCTCTTTCTTTAGCTAATTCACCATAACTTGACATATTAGCCAGAGCTCATTACCCATTGTACTGTATATGAAATTGAAATGAATGGTTTCCATGCTTAACATACAAAATATAATTTAATACATCTTTCTTTCAGATTCTACAAGTACACAATAAGGTTGTAAGGCGTTTGTCAATAAGCAAGTCAGCACACAGAAGGGGAGGGGGGGCTGGGTGGGGGTTACTCGGGGGGGAGGGGGGGGGCTGGGATGAAGTTACTCTGAATCAACATGTGAAAAACATGAAGCATGAAGATTGAACAACATAGGTTAAGAACCTGTTCATCAAGTGATCAACAGATTGGTATCTTCAGTGCCAAAGAAACTGTTTTACAGTTTAAAACTGAAAAACTGATTCTACAGGTGTAAAATTTTACGATTTGCAATTTCTGATCATACTTCAGTGTTCAGGATGGTTGGGTTATAAAGCACTTTTCAACTACTTGTTATACTTTATGAGGTTAAATTCTCTTATATCTGCCAAGCATCTTAAAGAGGGTTAAACACAGTTCAATAATTTGCTGCTGGTGACAAGTCATGAGATTTTGTCATTTTAGCAAATGTCAGTGGCATTTGTTCTGAGCAGCATTACTTCCAGTACTCTTAACGGTAACAAACAAAAATTAGGTAAAATTAAGAAATCTTCCAATATTGCTGTTTAGAAATTAATAGAATCTGTGCAATCATATCCTTAAATTGGTGTATATCTCACCCTGTTTCATACAAAATATTTTGTCTCATAGTCCATATTGAATGAGTGAAAATAGGTTGTTTTTAGTATTTTTTATTGTGTGTACTGGCATCTTGTCAAACTGAATTAGATGTTTTTGTTGTAGGAAATGAAGTGTCATTTTTCCTCTATATTCTATAAAGCTGGTCATATTTTCCTGCAAAAGACCAAATGCAACCTTTGTATTATCTCTTAACATATTTTTACTCTCAAAGATCTATGCATCCCGGTGTCAGCCATTTAAATGTTACGAAGCAGATTTCTGCTGAAAGGTCAGGAAATCTAAAACACTGTGTGGTATGGAACATCAAAATTCAGGAAATTAAAAAAGTATGGTTAGAAAGTGCATGAGCATGTCCTTACCATGTGCTTTCTTGATCTGTTCCATGCTATAAAGTGGAAATAACCGATTCCTCATGTTTTTCTTTCACAGTCAGGAGAGATTGTGTGTAACATAGTTTAAATACAAATGTAAAGTTGCCAATCACATTGCTTTAAACATACAGTATGTTCAATACTGGAATATTTCATAAAATAGATTCTGTAGTGAATAAATATCCACTGATAGTCTGATATTTTGTGTAGGCAGCTTTTAAGAGGTATATTTTCCTTCTTTTTCTTTTTATATAATTCCATTGAAATCCGTCTCTTAAAATATTTAAAATTTGTGATGGGTGTTTTAATATATCTCCACTCATATTTTACTCAGCAAAAATATTAAGAATTATATTGTGCCAAATTGATGATAACCATGTGTTGTGTGATCCAAGTTCCTATTTTTGTACCTCAAATGGATCATTCATATATTGTATACATATATATACAGTACATGTAAATTGCTAACTACAGCAAATGTGAGAACCATTTTATTCACCTGGGCAGTGGGAGCCTCGAACCATGGACCCCAAAATTGGAAGATCACAGCTCTATCAGTAGCTTGGTCTGCTTTTGGGGTGCATGGTTCGAAGCTCCTATGGCCCGGATGAATGACATACATACATGTGCAAGATAACGCCACAAAAGAAGAAAACGAGATGAACACTTTCTTCCCTCTAGGGCAGTGGTCAACCAGCGAGCCGTAAGAAAATTTTGGTGGTCCACAGAAAAATCTGGACATTTGCATTTTTATTAGTAATAAAACAAAAATAATAATTACGAAATTTTTATATTTTGAATGTTTTATTTTATTTGTGTATGGTATGTACAGTAACTTTTTGTTAAATGTTATATTGAATGGCATCAAATAGTTTGACTTTCATAACTATTATTTCTTGTTTGACTTCAGATTTGAATGCAATAAACAGTGAATATCAGTGAAAAAAAAAACCAAAGGAATATTTTGCATTTCTTTAGCACTACAAAAGTTAATGTAACTATTGATAACAGTAACAATAGTAATATGTGTACTTCACTTAACCGTGAGCTTGTAACACGGGTAGGGGTTTCTCTACTTAATCTTTCCTTCTTCTTTTCCCCCTCTACCCGTATTCTTACTTTTTATTCTCTACAAGGACCTCCAAAACTTTTACCAAAGCCAACTCCACGCCACGTGGTCCTAAGACGATTGACCGACTTAGGATTCTACAACCAGTATGACGTGACCTCGGCTTCGAGCAAAACCCTAGAGTCGCCTCCGCCGCCACCACCAGACCAGTAACACGAGCAATGATCGAGGTCTGGATCGATCATGCTAATTAATCAACCTTGGGGGCTTGATCCCCACTATAACCGATGACCTTGAGAGTTCTTAAGTGTGGAATTAGACGGGAATGATGAATTCCGATTCGATGTTAGAATCGGCGCCCAATTCAACTCTGCCTCGTGTGGACCACGTGACCAGGACAAGTATACACATAAACACATGGAAATAATAAAAATGCAAATTATTAACTAATTAATTTATTAAAAGAAAAACTAAAACAAAATCTAAATATGTTCACTCCCTGTCACTTTAACACTCCCTACTTGACCTGAATGGCAATGTGACTATCCCTATAACTAACCATAGCAACTATACCTCTATGTTTTACCAGCTAAAGATGTTGGGCTGGTCTTGGGGAGAGGTAAGATGGTTGACCTCTCCCAGTTGATCTTGTGTCCACACTGATTTCTCCTCGTCTGGTCTAGCCCAGACTAGAGCATTGTATTGTTCTGCATAGTCTAAGTTTTACCAAGTTACTTAGCCAGGTTTAAGTTATAACAATTAACCTCTGTTGTACTTAATTGATCCAGACTGGTTGAATTATTTTACTGAAATTAAATTACACAAGCATCTAACGGCAGAGCTGTTCCCGATCCCCAAAATGGTTAATTGAACTTTGAGAAATAGTAGACATGTCAACCCTGATGACCTATGACCGCCGGTCACTCCTCCTTACAACTTAGATCTGATTCGTGACGTCACTGATGGTGACTTAACTCAATAATTAGAATACTCTTGATGTTATAACCAGGGATATTATACAATACAATTTTAATACAAAATGAATAAAGGCTAATTTCTCTAAATTACTGAATACTATAGGATGATTCATTATACAAAACTATGAACAAAGATGCCCACCATTTGTGACTCAGACCTGCTAATCCCCAGGGGAATGTGTGTCGAGAGGTCAGGTCCCTACCCGAAACTTCTGGAACCTTCTGGAATAATTCTTACAACAGCCTAGTTTGTTACAAGCTGATCAATGAGTCAGAGCCTCCACAGTCCTCGTTAGGTACCATTAGGCAGAATATTCGAACTGGATGCGGAGAGAAGAAAAAAACTCAATATCAAGAAAATATGATTTGAACTGCTTAAAATGTAATTTATTAAAAAATCTGATTAGCTGCATCCACGGCCACTGTGTTTATCCAATGATGCCATGAAATTTTCGAAACTCTAAAGGCACTTTCAATCAAAACACCCTGATTTACCTAGGAAACCACGAATATTTTCAGAGAATGTGTGAAAATATACAAAAGCAAGTACAGTACTGTAATTGCTTTAACAAATATGATTGTTGGAGATAAATCCTTTGTGTGGTCGTCTGGATTTAAAATTATGAATTAAGTGGTCTGTGAGGTCTGGAAAGTTGGTCACTGCTGCTGTAGGGAACGTTGCCAGACCAAACGTATGAACAGGACAGACCAATAAGGAAATAGTTGCGAATCCAACCCCTCTGCATCTTCCCTTGTATGCAGTGCCATTCATCGATTGCAAGACCCTCACAGTAGATGCCTTTAAGCTAGACTACTTGAAGTGGGGATTCCTGGCACGTGGTCCAAGCCAGGTTGGAGTCCTACCATAAAAGGGTGAACCTTCCAGTTCCTTGATGGCCTGCTCAGCCTCAAGGAAGGTTTCAAGCGCTGCTTGCCATGTTTGAACCCGGGCATTTTTCTGCAGCTCTGCCTCTTTCAGAGGGTCGGCCCAGTAACGTGCTTCGCTGATTCGGCCGTCTCAGATTTTTACGTTTGGTATTTCTGATGCATTTCCCACTTGCATGCTTCTCAGTAAAAGTACAAGATTTCTGTGTGCTCCTCTCTCTTCAATGTTCAATTTCTGAGCATGTGGTGCTCTCTTCTGTCCTGGCTTTTTTTTTTATCAGCATCTCGAGCTGAATACTATCATCTTGTATCATGTGACACGTGTCTCACATATGTGGCGGAGCACTGTTTCACCTCCGTCCCGTTCATGTGTCACCCGAGCTTGCTTGGTCTCTGGACTGTATTTTCATTTCATTATTTGGCTCGGTTTATAGTGTCCCCTTTGGTCTGTGATTGTTTTCTTAAGTCTATTTTTGGCATCTCTTGCTTCTGGTTGTAAACCACCTCATGGTTTCCTCTGGAGGCAGGGGGTTGTTAATTTGACCCTGGTGTGCAGTGTGTTCATTTCCAGCCAACTTCTTTTCTGGTGAAGGAGTTGGTTGGCTTCTAGAGGGGTCCATTGGTTATTGACGATGGGTTGGTTCAGCCATGGATGTCATGTGTTGGGCCAATGGCAGCTCTCTGCCACTACCTTCATGCCACGTATTCTGCCAGTGGATGCCTCTTGGGTTGATCACCACCTTTGTTCTGTTCCAAGGCTTGCCTTTCTCAGGTCATCTGCAGTGCTTTTCAGCCTAGCTAGCCTGTTGTAGACTCTTGCACCCATAGTGTTGCGAAGTACTGTATGCAGTGCTCTCAGCCGTTTTTGAACATACTGTATCCTGGGCCGATATTCAGGCACGGGGGTTTTGGAGGTTAACAGGGTGATGGCAGCCTGGTATTTTGTTAATGTGTCCAGGCCCTTGGTGCCATAATGTAACATTTTTTATCCAGGTTTCTCTTCATCCTGACTCCTGCAGTGCTCCCACCTCCCTGTTAAGTGCCCTTTTTGTTTTCTTTGTGGGTAGTCAGCATTAGGGAGCCATAAGGGGCTTCACCCCCCCCCCCAAAGAAAACCAGTCTAGTGTAATTATACGCCAATTTCTGGCCGAGCCCTGGTGGCTCCCGACACCCTCCTTCCAGGTAGTCATAAGGGTGGGATATATCTACCATAGAATTTAGGATTCATTGGCTACCTGCCTCCTCTTCCCCAATTCTGGGCATTTTTGTGATCTATCTTAGTACACTTTCCAAGAGTAATGATATGCGACATTTTTTTTATAAAATTTTTGCGTCTGCTTTACCACCTTTTTGAAGTGGCATGAATTCTGCTGTTTTAAGTATGTCAGTGATAACACCAATATCTAGGCTCCATCTCTAAAGAATGTTTAGAGCCTGTGATAGTCATCAAGAAAAAAAAAATTAGAATCAACCCGTCAATTTCCACCCTCAGACCGAGTCTACCCCATCCAGCGGTCGACCCTAAAGATGCACTCATTAATTTTAACATGCTGTTAATTCAAAACAGGAAATTTCTCAAATATAAATTATTATTATATATAGTATTGGTATATTTAGGCTTTGGTTAGGTTAGGTGTTTAGGGTCTGTTGGCAATTTTTATGCATGAGAAGCATTTACAGCATTGTGGTTCGAACAAAAAGTCGTTCTGGAAGTGTTCAAATGTCATCAATTGAGAGTAGCAGCGTAAACCATTTTTCATTCATAAACGGAGTTTGGTGGGTGCATGGAATAGACTTTTGGCCTTTGTTAATTAGGACAGGCTGATAGAATGCCAAGAGTCCAGACCTGGTGCAGAGTGCATACCATTTATGGCTACTAGAGTCGGGTGGGGTTAGGGTAACGTCCGCTATATGGCTCTGTGGTGGTGTTGCATTCAAAGAATTAGTTTGAATCATTAATCTGCAATGTGTTCAAGGGTTCACTGAAAACACAATCGTACTGTAACTTCAGTATTGCACTTTTTTTTTTCCATCTGTGATGTTTATCCCTTTTATGCAAGGACCCCAATGCAGTCTGTAGTTTTGTTCTAGATTTTGTACAAGCAAACATTTTAGATTCTTCTATTTTCATCTTGGGAACACTTAAGAGTTGATCTTTTAGCTTTCATTATACTGTATTTCTATTAAGAAAAAATTAGTATTTTTATACTATAATTATTTTAATAATTATAGTATTTAATAATATAGTATTTAATATATATTTAATTATATATATTATATAGTATTATATGTATATTATATAGTATTTAATAATAATAATTATAGTATTATTTTTATACTATAATATATATAATTATTAGCCCACCTCCCAGTAACCAAAAATAGGTCTTTTTCCACTATGGTATGAATGTACAAAGAAATAAGTATTACTTGCAAAACTACTGTTTTAGCCCCCCTCACTGTGACCCAAGATTGGGGGGGGGGGCTAGATACCACAGCTAAAGTATTAAAATGCACAAGTATTCTCTTGTAAATTTTATCTTTTTCCTGCTTTTATCTTTTTTTTTAGCACTTGTCTTGGGGGGGGAAAAAATGTCACTCCATGTACCGATTTATTTCATATAGAACCTTCATCCAACAAATTTAACACATGTAAGAACTTTAATTATAAAATTACAATCATAGCTAATTACCACTCAACCGATATTTTAAAGATTGTGTTTTGTGTAGAGATCAATGATTTCCTGTACATCATCGGCAGAGCCAAGGAAGATGGGTGTGCGTTGATGAATGTCCGTAGGCACAATATCTGAAACAAAGCAAGTAATTACCAAAAGGCACCAAACTGGGAAGGCTATGTAGTAGCACCATCAAATGTGCGGAGTAATCAGAGGGCGCTAAATATCTCCAAGGATGCCAATACGAGAAACACACAAGGCGAATAATATCAAAATTATCCGATTCACCAAGAATTCTACATCTGAAACAAAAATGAGTTTCATTAGCAAGTTTTTCTACCTAATACTGTAAGCCTCATTACCCTTAGAAAGTTTGAATTCTGGAAGATTAAAACTGCCCCTGCACTTTTGAAAAATATTAAATTTCTAGGACTGGAAAGCAGTACTGTACACAAATTATATGCAACTAAAGATCACAGACTTTAAATCAAATTGTGTACTGTACTCTAAGGACATTAATTTATCTGATGTCAGAACCTGGGTGAATAACAATGGTAAAAATCCTAATTTCTCAAATTCTTTTTACATTAGCTTCACTTTATATACATGTTTTAATATGGCAAATTTTTGTATACTGTACAATTTTTTTTTTTATAACTTACCTTCATGAGGATCAAACTGATTTGAACTATACAGTAACCTTTACACACAATTCACATGTATTAAAAATTATATAGGTATTTTTGTTTACATTATAGCGAGTCTTGATAATTCATTATATTTGAACGAAAGAAAATGAGATGTCAAGGCCTTTGTGGTTCCCCAAAGCTACCCACCTACATAGCTCCAAGCCTAAAATACCCCACCAGGCCCTTATGAGTACCTATAGAGTACCAGAATCTATCCTACTCGGTAGACAGCGAGAGTCAGGGAAATATAAAAGTCCAACCTAGGCTGAAAGAGGACCGCCAAAAAGGTAGAGCATTCCAAAACTAGGAAATGCATGTAAAACACTGGTAACCCTGACAAATAATGTACATATTGTCTAGACCCAACCACTAGTTGGCAGCACTGCTACCAGATGGCAGACCCGAGGACCCGGGGCACCAGCCGACTGCCCCCCCCCCCCAGTCATGCACCTGGTGCTTATGCAAGTGTCTTAAGTGCTATGCTGCCCCTTTTTTAGCTTCATTTTCCTACAAGACCTATTTGTGTGTTCCTTTTTCTGCTTCACATGATTGGTTTAGGTTAGTCACTTCCGAGCCTCTAGTCTTTCGCTTTGGCTGCATGTAGCCAGATTTGCCTTCTCTGATTACCACTGGCATTTTTCCTGCCTTCAGTTGGGTTCACTCCATTGGAGAAGGTTCGGGTGTCTTCCCCTTACACCCGAACAGCACACTGTCCCAAATAACTTTACAGTCCTTTGCCCTACCCCTGGGTTCTCTTCTTGTCTTGGGGACAGGTTCTTTAATCCTTTGTTCAATTTTTGGGACTTTTGCTCCTCTGGTGTTCTGTTTTGTTTGCTTCCCTTCCCCTGCTGCATCATGCACACCATGGTGTAGTTTTAATTAGCTTAGCTGCTCAAGGGCTAAGAGGGCAGATTTGGGTCCTGGTTCTCTGGGTAATCCAGAGTATTCCTGGTATTCCAGCAGATAGCATCTGAAAGCCACTGAAGAGACTGCCAGAAAGAGGCCTTTTATTACATTCAATGTTGGATTTTTTCAGTAGCTTACCTGGGGCAAAGATTCACGAAAGCACTTACGAACGTATACATCTTTCCTCAATCTTTGACAGCTTTGGTTACATTTATTAAACAGTTTACAAGCATGAGAACTTCCCATTCAACTGTTATTGTTATAAACAGCGTCCTGGTGCTTCGGAGCTCATTAACCGTTTAATAATTGGAAACAAAGCCGCCAAAGATTGAGAAAAGATGTACAGGTTTGTAAGTGCTTTCGTGAATCTGGTCCCTGAACTCCCAAACCCTCTTCAGGTATAAAAGACCTGCCATCTGAGAGACCCCTTATGCAATGCTGACTTGCATTTATAAGGCATCTGCACTGTGAAGAGTTACTTACCCAGAATAGGCATCTTGCCAGTTGTTGCTTTTCCTCCAGCCTGTTCCACCAAGTAGGCCATTGGGTTGCACTCGTACAACAACCGCAACTGAAGATACAGTACAGATAAAATTAACAACCAAGAAATGTTTAACACAGACACGTACAAAATTATCTACAGTCAGCAACAGTGTATGGAACCCTAGTATTTATTAGTACACGTGTAAAGAGAAAAGGAGAAGGCATGAAAATTCAATGGTTTTATTTTTACATTAACCACCATTATACCATGAGCAGCAACAACAAATCAAAAATAGCTTCAATTTGCTATAAATGACTAGCCATAACTTAGGGGTCTGAGTACAGAAATCTCTTGGCACATTCCCTTTGTTCACCTTGCACCCCAGACGTCAGGCAATTGTTGTAAGGTTGCCTCCTGGGGTAGGTCAGTAGTTCGACCTAGGAGTTTGGGAGGGGGATGACCTTTATACAAGTCTAAAGTATATACTGTATTTACCTGAGGGCCACCATTTATCTACTGGGACAAGAAGCTCCACTGCTTCTCAAAGGTCCCCTTCATATTTCTCTTTGGATTTTTTCCAACTGGATATGAAATGCAATAATATCTTTGCATTTATGGTTTCAGCAGTAATTACTCTAGTGTAGTTGCAGGGCGAGAGCTGTGCTCGTGGTGTTCTGTCTTCCCAGTACTCTTATGTTTTGAAACTTCCGAGTTTTTATATCTACCATCTCACTTAGAACAAGCAAGAAGGCAGTGTACTACTGTTTGCAATAGATAATGTTCCATCCCCCCCCCCCCCCCATCTATTTCCTTGGCTTGGATCAAAGGCCTTTTTTTCAAGAATGTCATTTTTGAAGACTCCTTTCACAATTTTGCACATGGTGATCATATTGCTTTTCTTCTATATTTAAGCTTGTGTATTTAACACCACTAGCCATTTCTCTTGCCTCATTTTTCAATTCCAATTCAAATAAGTTTATCGAGGTATAAATACACACAGACGAGTTCTCTAAACCATTTTGTAGCATGTCTTTGTACCTTTCCCAGTTTATTTATGTGCTGCTTGAAATTTGGGCACCATACAACTACTGTATGTTCCAGTTTGGTCTGTCAAAAATCTTAAAGTTTAATATTTCACCATCCATATATTTAAAAGTAGGATTCTGAAGTTGGAAAGCATAGCATAGGCTCTCCATACATTTTTGTGGTCCTCTGGTGACAATCTACTATCTAGAACCACCCCCAAAATCTGTCAGTTATTTAATGCCTCTACACAATTTGTAGGGTTTTGAATGGTCTATTTTGAGCTTTTTCCACATTCCATAATATGGCATTTATTCACATTCAATTTCATTTGCAAAGTGTTGCTCCAAACACTTTTTGTCCAAGTCATCTTTAAGGGCATGGCAGTTCTGGTACAAAAACAATCTGGTGGTATTCTGCTAGTACTGTAACACTTCTAGTCTGATAGTGCCTCTGCTTACTACCCTCATCCTTCTGGAAGTTTAGAAATTTTTCACTTATGCCAGCTGTCTGCTCATCATTCATCCAGCATGTCCCAGTTTCCAGAACAACTTGTATAGGACTCAAAAGCCATTTTAAAGTCCAGATAAACAGTCAACCCAACTGCCTCTTTCCTGTAGAATCTCTGGCTATTGTGCACCTCTTTCTCTATGCACCTGAGGATAGAGGGTCCAGGTTTTGGCGTGTTCCCAGTAGGCTAAACAACAAGTTCCACATGTGCTCCTCATTTGCATGGAGCAATCTCTGCAAGATGCAACTTTAGCTCATCCAGTAAAAGGCATTTTATTACATTTAATGCAGACTTTTTATTACACCACATACAAATTATACAACTATTTACACTTGTATGCACCATAGATCACTAAGTTCTGGTGGGTATGGCAATCTCTCAACTGAAGCACAGCATAATGTCAGTTGCTTGTCAAATGCTGACATGCTCCTTATACAGCAAAATACTTGCTAATATATTACACACATTACTAACTAGACATAACACTGCTATCATGTTTAGAACAATCACTAACCCTTTAATATTAATCCTCTTTCTAAATGAATATAAGGTCCTGTTTCATGATGCATAGTCACCAAATTGTGGCTATGTGCTGTAAATTTCCATCTTGTGCTGTTATCATAACCAGCATCAAGTTGATTAGCCTGGAATAACTTGTCAGGATCGTCTATGACTACCATGAAATAACCCATTATTTAATCATTAAGTGATACTGTGGACATAAGCTGCTTATCAGTGCTGTGATCAGCTAAATGTGCTACTCCTAATTGCTCTTAGTACTGAGTCCCTCTCACCTAGCAGCAGTCCATGACTTCCAAGCTGGCAACTGTCTACTGGAAGCTTTATTTAATTCCCAGCTGATACACTCCAAGTATATCAGCAGGGAGTTTAATCTTGCATGGTACTCAAATCTTCCCTAACTACGTTGTGCAGTTAACCGACAGGTCCGGATGCCTTTGGGTCATGGCTAGGCATGCTCAACCCTAGCCATGTCATGCAGTGAAAGGGCTAAATTCACCAGAGATGATGGCCCTAGGTAAATCCAAGTTAAACAAACAAGTTGTGTTACAGTTACAATTACATCCTTCTAGGCAATATTAAATCTTTGATAAATAGAAATGTATAAAAAAATCTAATTAAAGTGAATAGTCACATTCTATAATAAAGGTCATTGGCATGAAAAAAAAATGACAGTAGCAGCAACACTGGCAAAATAGTCATACCTCTGCCATTTCATACTGTATAAAGTAAAAAGAAATCCATGTACATTTATTATAGCCACCTATTGAAATACTTTGTCCTGTTTACATGTAAAACAGATTAGCAAAATCCTACCTAGATATTTAAAGTCATTTCTTCAATGAAGTTTGAAAATGGAACACTACATTAAACAGTGCATCCTCGCGCAAATGAACCCCACCCTATCGAATTCCCGGATGATCCGAACAAATTTAATTCGGTACTAAATGTTCAGTGGAACATACAAATGTTCGATTAAGCGAGGAATGTTCCTCCAAGCGGTCACCGAGACCAAGCGTCTGAGGTGGCTGTCATCAACTATGATTCACCCAAGTGTAAACAGTTACACTGTTTTATTATGCTTACCCATTGTTCCCGGGAGAAATGGTTGAAGAATGATAAAATGGTGTCAGGGGTCACTGGTGAGTTGTCTGCTCGTGGTGGTGTCAGTAGTTAGGGTTTGTCAGGGGGAGGCAGGTGGTGTCAGTGGTGGAAGCTGTCAGGCAAGGCAAGGCAAGGAGTAATAGTGGGGTCAGGGGAGGCAGGTGGTGTCAGTGGTGAGCTCTGACCTGAGTTACCAAGTAATTGGCAATACGTGGCTGCCGCCTCAACGTTTCACTCTCTGCTTTTCACCAAATTAGCCGAGAAAATATTACCATTTCAGTTGCTTGTAACATATTACCACCCTATTCCATAGTCAAAATGAAGTCATAATAAATGGTGTCAGTGGTGAGGGGATGTATTAAGGGGGTGGGAAGGCACCTAGCCTCTACCCCAATCAACATTTGTACTTGTTAATATGTACTTTACTTTTATGTACATTACTTTGTGTATTCCTTAATTATACAGTATCAACTTTTTTTTTTCATTTAACTGTCAGGGAAGGCAGGTAGTTTTAAATGTGTAAGAGAAGGCAGGTGGGGTCAGTAGGGGAGGGTTTACTGGAGGCAAGGCCAAGATGTGTGGGCGCATACACTCACTAGCAGTGAGCAGGTGCCAAGAGTCAATTTAGTGATGTCAATTATGGCATTATCTACACTGAAATTAGCCTTTTGTATTGGCAAAATGTCATACTGGAGCAATAATAATGTTGAAGATTGTGATGTACAGTATTTTAAACGGTTTGAATACGTTTCCCTTTTCACAGAATTGTTAAGGCAAATGTAAAGACAGCTGACTTGGCATTGTGTGGCCGGGGAGCAGTGTGTGTGTTGTTCCTGGAGTGAGGGGGTGGGGGGGTTCCCGGCTGCCTCCCTCCCTCTCTAACAACCTACATAATATAAACCATGTGCATTAATACAGTACTGTACAAAATGCATAAAACTTCAAAATAAACAATATTTTACTAATTATATATATGGTTATCTATGCTCGGGGGTGGGGGGGGGGTTATCTATGCTCTCATATGGCTTTATAAATAAGCTATGAATTCAGACATTATGGAAGGTCTGCTCTCAGAGAAGATGAGATGCTTAATAAGGATACAAGGGCTAGTAGAACACTAGAAAATGTCAAGACATTTAATTAAAGGCCCAATTTACAACTGGGCCAAAGAATGGTGAGAGTTGAAGGTCACCACATTAACACTTTCGCGGGATGAGGACGCACCCCCGGAGTCCTGTTTCGCCTACCCACTCCCGCATAGTGGACATAAACTTATGTCCTCTTAAAATATTTGTATAAAATTCAATTTTTATCCGATTTACTTTGGGTTTGTTTCAAACTGCGCGCCATGAGGCTCTCTTTCTCACCAATAGGCTGCATGGTACAATAAGTTCATGAAAGGTTCACAAACATAAAAGTAAAAACATTTCGTGTGTGTTTCTCACTGATATGTTCCAGCGTTTTATATTTGGCACTATTCTATCTTACGCTTTGTTGATCTTTTTTACCTACGGGCTCATAGAACATTCTATTGCGAACACATTGACAAAAATGAATGACGTACATAGAATAATAATGTCATGAGAATGAAATAAGTTTAACTTTCAAAGCGCCATGCGTCGTCCCGTCACCGACACTGGGTAACAATTTCACCACTTCCCACACTCTTGCGGGCGGGCCGCAATCATTATTCTACGCTTGTATTCATATCACCGTGTTGGGAATTTCATTGCGAGTCCATTGATACCAAAATTAACGCTGTAGGACAAGTGTGGAGGTGATAACAATCCCAAGAGTAAAAACATTTTGTTGCTGTTGGGCGCTCACGGCGAGTCATCTTCGTAGTTATTTGGTGCTGGTATCCCTATACGTTTCGTGACTTTTTTTTACTGATAAAAATAGAATTCTTCTAGAGAATTTTATTGCGAACACGTTGGTACCAAAATGAAATACGTAGCTCGAGAACTAAGGTCATGAGAGTAAAAAGAGTACACACATTTTTGTTTTTACGCTTACGCGACAAAACGCCGTGAGCACTTACGGTTGTTTCCCTGACCTTCGCTGAGAGCGCGAAAGTGTTAAAGAATGCATAGAATAAAATTGAGTCCGGTACCTGATGAGAATGAAGACAAAGATGAGTGAGGGTTTTGATAATGCAATTTTTGAGACATTAAGAGATGCTGGTGAGGAAGATTTGCAGTTTTCTGATGTGACTGAGTGGTTAGATAATGATGCTGATCCAGGATATAAGGAATTAAATGATGACACGATTATCCAGTATGTTACTGGTAATGCTGACAAGGGTGTGTAAGAGGAGGATAGCATGTTACCTATTCCATATGCTGCATCATTGCAAAAGGCAAATGATTTTCCTTTATTTGGTTGCTGTAACTGATGAAGAACCGACATTATTATCTACACCTAATGACATGAAAGATATTATGATGAAGCTCGCAACGAAGAAACAAACCAAGATTCAAAAGTTTTTGATACGGTTTCACAGTAGGCCTACAGGATCAGCACCCAGCACTAGCAAGGACTCTCTCCATGAGTTGCAATTTTTCACAAGGCAAATGTGTACTGGCACATGTATTAATGTGGTTGTATTTTTTTTGGGGGGGGGGGGGGGGGGGAAGGAGGAGATAAGGGTTGTTGGGGACAGACGGATGGAGTGAATTTTGCACTGGAATGAATCGGCTTCGTCCCATATAGTTCGTTCAAGTGAGGATACACTATTAAAAACAGAACCTTAAAATACTGTATCCAGTATTAATGCGAGACCTGTAAATCATGTTAAAATGTCACGCATACACAAAAAAAAAAATCTTACCTTGCCTTTGGGAGAATCTGCTGTAGCAGGGTACATAAATATTCCACCATATTTAATAGTTCGGTGAACATCAGCAACCATAGAACCAATGTATCTTGCGCCTGCTTTCTTTGCCTAAACAAAAATTACAAATTTATATAAATGTAAGTAATGTAGTGGGGCACATTAAAAAGTATGCCAAAACTATGATAAGCTTATTAATGAGCAGTACATGTGTCGCTTTCTTTCTAAAGGCCAAATCCTATTAATATAAATAGGAACAGACACTGTGACATTCCACACTGATGTGGGAGCTTTCAAATTGTTTCCATTCATACTGATGTTAGGCAGACACTGGCAAATACTCTATCCACCCCAGGAAAAAAAAAAATGTGCTTGCCATAACACCAAAAGGACTACTGAAGGTGCAACTAGGAACACTAATCAACCCTGGGAACATACCAAATACCCACTAGGTTACACCTATAATTATTAAAGACAATTTGCCACTTAACTATTTCGGTTCAGAGCCTTTTCTGCAAGCCTCGATAGGAGGTTTCAATGACAATTTCTTGAGTGGAGTACCACAGAAGACCACTTTTAAGGCCAAAACTTTTGTAACAGTATCCAGTACAATTATGAACCACAGCATTGTTCACACACACACACACACACACACACACACACACACACACACACACACACACACACACACACAAATGAAAATGTCAGATGCAATAACTGCCAACACTCAAGAGGTACAATGGATAGCAAAATACTGTATTAAAGAAATTGTTTGCGACCTTCGTAAGACAAAAACTGGAATGTGCAGTTTTAGGGTGCCCATATCTTACGAAGCACATCAATAAACTGCAAAGCGTAAGGAACATGGCTGGTCCCCTATGCTTAGAGCTCAAATTATGGGCTTGGCTGACACTTACAAAGACCACCCAGCTTGGCAGAGGTTCCCACAGACCCCCCCTGCCCCACTATGTGGGGAACTGGGCAAGTCACCAAGAGACATCTGGCAAGAGAAAAATTCCCCAGGGATGAGTATTTCATCCCTTCATTCACGTAATTACCCAACTGTAGTTACAGGACGAGAGCTACTCATGGTGCCCATCTTCCCAACACTATCATACAACTCCTTGCAACTACTGACTGTTTTGGCCGCCACCTTCTCGCAACTTGTTGCGACCATTAACCCCTATTTGCAGAAGTGAATTTTTTATTTCTCGGGCAGCTTCGTTTAGTTAGCCGCTATGACTGCTTGCTCTAAGTTCCAGAGTCCCTAGAATTATTCTGTTACTAATTCTGTTGATTCCCATTACAAATTTGTATGCAGTGATCACAGCCTCTTCTATATTTCAGTTTTGCCATATTTAATGCCTCTAACCTCTCTTCATAGCTCGTCTTTCAGTTTTGGAACCCATTTAGTCTTCACACCTTTTCCAGCATGTTTGTGCATTTCTTAAGATATGGGCACCAGACATGGCTTAAGATATGGGCTTCTACTTTTCACAGATGCCATTTTGTCAAATCTGCTCTGATACACAACCTACCCAACATGAACTTTAGTCCTGGCTTTGTTGCCATTTACTTCCCTTTCACAGAACACTCAAATGTTCTAAACTTTCTAACATGACCTAACATAAGCCTACTCAACCTTTTTCTTTCTCCTCCGTTTCGTACGTTCTCATATTTACACGTATTACCCCCTTGCACCCCTTTATTACACCTATTCCATCCGTACCTTTTGCCTTTCTTTTACCGTCATATAAGATTTCCTTCTCACCTCTCTTGCCTTAATGCCCATGTATTTCACCACCCATGTATTTAAAAGTAATCCTGAAATTGGAATGTGTAGCATAGGCTCCTTGCACCATGTTCGTGATGAAGATCTCAGTTGATGGCTTATTATTTAGAAGCCTATAAATCCCCCCCCCCCCCCTAGATCTTTCAGAATTGTTTAAAACTTTCACACTGTAATTTGTAGATTGTGTGATCTATTTTCTCCTCGTCCACATTCAATAATATGACATTTATCACATGGCCTGCTTAACATGATACTGCATACATGAATGTCTGCAGGTTTATGAATCAAATCATCCAAATGTCCCCCACTCTTGCTTTGTACGGTTCCTAGTCTACTGGGTTCAAGTATGTACCAGCTTATAATTCATCTCTTCTTTTCTTACAGTGACAGCAATAATTTGCATTGTTACCCAAGGATACCTTGTTTTCTTCAAGCAGTGGCTTTTGTTGCATTTATTGTTTGTCAGTTTTTCTTGGGTTTGGGTTGATCAAGCCTCAAGCTCCACCTCACCTTGTACAGAGCACAAGGTTGTGCTGGTTTCCAATATACAAAGGTGGGTCTCTGATACCTGGTACATTTCCCTAAGATTTGGCTGGACTAACACTTGGCTCAAGAAGGCTCTGAAGGGGACTTTCAAGAAAAATGCTTTGAAATATCAAGTTCCCAAAAACAATGTTTGCAGTCTCAAGTCTTCCTAATTGTGTATTTGCAAACAAAAAGTTCAGAAATAAAATAGTAAATCAACATCCAGAAATAAAATGGCATTTTAATTTCATAAATGTAGATGTGTCATAAGCAATTACAAAATCTATACAAGCTAAGCATCCGTACACTTCAAAACCACACACACATACCTTCTTTCCTTTGACGAATTCTGAAACTGCTGGGTCCCAGAGGTTTGCATATCCTTCATTCAGGCTATAAATCTTGCCCTTTTCTTTGATTTGCATGTTAGGATCTGTCAGTACAAACTCTCCAATGCTCTGCAATAATTAAATAGGCTTATTAAAAAAAAGCACTAGCAAGAATAAATTTGTCTGTACAGTATACTGCTGACTTACTTCCAACTCAACAGGGTGGCTACAAAAGTCTGCAAACAACTCAACATTTATGCCATAAGAGCCCTTGATTGCATGATCCTCTACCTTTTAAGATTTTACTTTTTCCAACCATCTCTAGTTGGAATAGTCACCTTATTTGTATATGGTAGACCACTTGCAAAAGCTATTTGATGCACACACAAGCCAGTGCAGCGGTTCATGTCCCAAGGTTCACTTGTCGAAGCATGGCTCCACTGAGGGTCAGCCTTCTCTTTATAGTGTTCCTTAGGATCATGGACTACAGTAATTTGTACATGCCAATTCTCTTCATGTAAGAGATCAGTATTGGTTCTTCTATCAAATTTATTTACTATATCTCCCAGCATATATACAGTATTAATAGCAGTCAATATTACTAAGTCTGGCAGATTCCTTAAACATTACTACAGTTTTTAACTTTCCTCTAATTACATTATTTGCAGAATCTTACATAGACAAGTGTCATGGCAATACTAATAACCATTCACGAGGAAATCTTTCCCCATGCAGCTGGCACACGTGAACAGGACCTAGTCCATTCCTCAGGAATGAAATCTAGCATTAACACTTTGGTGGCAGTTTTTTCAAATACTAGAGTCAATTAATAGGAAAAAACAAAACAATTGGATCCTTGGGAAATGCAACAATGGCATGTAACAAAAATGCTCAACAATGGTCATGAGATATAGTTACAGCAGATAAGGATAAATCACAATTATTGGTCCTGGGGCAATAGACCGAGGCCTATGAAGAAAGAATGGAGGACATTTGCACAGACAGATTTGTAAACCTCATTCTGGAGACACTTAGCACGTCACGTAGGCTACTGCTTGACGTGTTGACATTCACCAGGAAATTCAATATTTCTGGTGTTTAATATTCACCAGGAAATAGATATTTGACACCAGTATCTTCCTACCTTGGGAAAAAAAAAAGTGTGATCATGTCCTATTGGAAATTAAACATGCATAGCGATATAATCTAGAAGAGGATGGGGACAATGAAACTGTTGACAAACTATTTTTAGAGGACACTAGGGAGCTTAGAAAATACTTTGACTAACTGGACAGACTTGTTGCTAGGCAAGGATGTAAATGAGATTTATGCCAAATTTTGTGAAATACTGTACACTGTATATGATTAAGGCATACAACATTCATACCAAAACAGAACAAGGCCCAGAAATGAGAATTGCTTCAAGAGAAATTGTGAGACAGTCAGAGAGGGGAAAAAAACGATTCAATATAGGAAGAGGCCCAATCCTCAAACATACCAGCACTACAAGCAAGAAAAATACACAGCAGCGAGGAGAGGGGCAGAAAAGAACCGAGAGGGATAGTGGAGAGTCAAAAACAGATCCAAGCCTAGTCTATATTCATTAAAAGCAAGCTGCAGGTAAAGGATAAAATCTAGAGATCAAGAATGGGGAAGAGGACAAAGTGAAAAAGAAATGCGACGTGCTAAATGAACAGTTCCAAAGTGCATTCATACAAAATGAGGATTTCAGAGAGCCAGACCTAATGCAAACTCAAGAGCATACCATAGAATACAGAGGTTTCCAAAGATGAAGTTGAAAAATTACTCAAGAGACTAGGAAGAAAAAGCAGTTGGACCTGATGGAGTTTCATCTTGGGTGCTGTGAGTGTGCAATGAGCTGAGCATTCCATTCCAATTTATATTTCACATTCTTATGTACAAGAATCTTAGATACAATAAAAAAGGCAAACATAGTTCAAATCTCAAACGTACAGAACTCGCACTAACGTGATATATATCTATGAAAAAATCCCGCTGTCGGCCGAGCGGACAGCACGCTGGACTTGTGATCCTGTGGTCCCGGGTTCGATTCCGGGCGCCGGTGAGAAACAATGGGCAGAGTTTCTTTCACCCTATGCCCCTGTTACCTAGCAGTAAAATAGGTACCTGGGTGTTAGTCAGCTGTCACGAGCTGCTTCCTGGGGGTGAAGGCCTGGTCGAGGACCGGGCCGCGGGGACACTAAAGCCCCGAAACCATCTCAAGATAACCTCAAGATAGCCGCTTGGGGGGGGGGGGGGGGAGGTTTTAGTCCTTGAGGCCCAGGTTTGATTCCCAGCCGAGACAGAAAAAAGGGCACAATCTTTCACCTGCTGCTCCCTGTTCACCTAGCAGTAACAGGGGTTAGTAAACTACTTGTGGGGTTGCATCATTGGGAGGGTCACTAATTTGTCCCTGATGGGGACCAATACAAACCTAACATGTACTGTATGTATATACTGGCTGCCTGTCCTGAAACAATGGTAGTTCAATGACTACCACAATGTAGTGGTAGTTACTAAACTACTTTGAAAATAACTGCCATATTGCATAATCACTTACAGTACAGGGTACTATATTTCCTCTTCAATAATTTATAGTACAGTACTGTTAAACCTCATTCGTGTAACATGGATGGAACAGATAAGCGTCTTCCAATCCTTATTTGGCTAACTCTTTACTGATAAGCCTCAAAGTTACGAGGCAGTGTTGAATGGGGGACCATTTGTTTTGTTATGCTGCCTAACAATGCCCTTGTTTGTTTATACACTATTCTGTAATGTATACTGTATTTCATGTATGGGACAGTTATGCCCACTGTCAGCCACAGCTGTATTGGCTGGCATGACCAGTGATAACTACTCATACTCCATGTAAACTACCTTGTTTCTGTATATTCATAATTATTCATTCACACACACTTTCAAAGGTAATGATTTTAATTAAGGTACAGTATTATTATTAGATAAGAGCAAAAATATAGTCCAGTACTCTAAATGTGCATTTCATGAACAGTACTTGCACATTTTAACTTTTGTGAATACTATACTACAAATTGCAGTGAAGACTCACTGGATCAAGCATGAATCCATTAACTCCATTCCCAGTAGATATGACCATCATAGTAGCTGAGCCATAGAGGGCATATCCTGCTGCAACAAGACGATTGCCTGGCTGGAGTGCATCATTTACATTAGGGTCATCATCCGAGATCTTCCTGAAAATTTCAAAAGTTAATAGTTTCCACTTAAAATTTATCTAGGAATAATTTTTTTGATACAAAAACTAGCCAAAAATTCTACAAGACTAAAATCCAGCAGCAAATGTAATGAAATGCCTAATATACAACCAGTAATTAATGTGTAATTAAAACAGTACAGTACTAATATATATCACACACACAATGTTGACCAGATCACACACTAGAAGGTGAAGGGACAACGACATTTCGGTCCGTCCTGGACCATTCTCGAGTCGATTGTGAGGACGGACCGAAATGTTGTCGTCCCTTCACCTAGTGTGTGGTCTGGTCAACATTCTTTAGCCACGTTATTGTGACTCATCGCCTGTACAGTCTCCGTGGCGTAGTGGCAAGACACTCGCCTGGCATTCCGCAAGCGCTTCGTCATGGGTTCGTATCCTGGCCGGGGAGGATTTACTGGGCACAAATCCTTAACTGTAGCCTCTGTTTAACTCAACAGTAAAATGGGTACTTGGTTGTAAAAGCGATTCTTCGCGGCGGGGATCGTATTCCAGGGACCTGCCCGAAACGCTATGTGTACTAGTGGCTGTACAAGAATGTAACAACTTGTGTATGTACACACATATATACACACACACACTAGTATAGTAATATGTAATGAAATGCCATATATACTAATATACTACTGGTTAAAGGAAGTTATGCAATTTCTTTGTATAAAATTATATGGGTAAAAATAAAGATTTATTCAGTTATTGGTCTACCGAGTTCATTTGGCCACGTTTACAGCAGGACAGTCATTACAGTACAAGAGTATATGATATAACTAATTGATTAGTTATGAACTTGGATCCCATGATTGAAGCATCATGTGTGGTATAGATGTATTTGCATAGATAGAGAAATGGAAATGAAGAGATTGCAGCATGTGCATTGCTGGCCTTTATGAACTGAAATCATAGTAGAGACATCAATGATAACTGTACTTGCGTTATTATCCAAAAATTTCACCCAGTTATGTGCAGCACACGGCAAGTAAATCCCCATAAATTTGTGAACAATTCTAAAATGAGGGTTTTGAAATAATTATTTGATGCAGTGCGCTCTACTAATCACTGCAATTACAATTTTTTTTTTTGCGAGTTTAAAACTATTGGGATGAGGGAAAAACACAACTACAGTGGTACCTCGGAATGCGAGTGTCCCTGTATGCGAGTTTTTCGGAAGACGAGCAGGATTTACTCCAAAAATATGTCTCGGAAGGCGAGGGTTACCTCGGGACGCGAGTTTGTTGATACGTGTACAGGCCGACTGGCGCGTGGTGGCATGGCGATCGCGCCTCAGTTTACCAGTGTCTCGTGTCCAGTGACTATCCCACCTGAATTCTTCACAAGGATTTACAGTTTTTTATCGTTTTTTTGGCCATTTGAGCATAAAAGTTGTCATTATATATCTTGCCATGGGTCTCAAGAAAGCCATTGGTAAGGTTCAACCTAAGAAAATAGCTGTGAGTAGAGGCAGTAGAGGATGTCCCTTCTTGATTAAGAAAATGTGTGAAGTATGGGAAGAACTGCAAAGTTTTGTTGAAAAAACTCACCCAGATAAAGCTGTAGCAGGCCGTTGCATTGACCTTTTAAATGACAATGTGATGTCTTACTACAGACAAGTGTTAAAATGTAGGGAAAAACAAGTGTCATTAGATAAATTCTTAGTAAAACAAGCAAGTCCTAGTGGTATGCAGGCAAAATGTGCCAGAGTGTGTATACCAGTGAAGTCCTCACTGCCTGATGTGATAATGGAAGGGGACTCCCCTTCCAAACAGTAACTCCCCTCTTCCTCCCACCTCCTCACCATCTTCCATACGCCTACAGCAATCAACAGCAAGGTAAGTAATAACTTGAACATAGTTTTGTAGGTTTATTTAGATGAATTAGGTATAAAAATTTAGTTTGATGTGGGGTTTTTGGGGTAGTCAGGAACGGATTAATTCATTTCCCTTTATTTCTTATGGGGAAATTAGCTTCGGAATGCGAGTTTTCGGAATACGAGGCGTCTCCAGGAACCAATTAAACTCTTAAACTGAGGTATTGCTGTATTGTATTGCCCAGTTTACAAGGGCAAATAAGGGGGGGGGGGGGGCTTTGACAAGGTGCTAGCTTCTGGAGTGGCTAGTCCTCAAGGCCAATAGGGTGTTAGTGACCCTTAGGTAAATTCCAAAGGTATACAAATTCAATATTTAACCAACTTTATAAAATTGTGGCATCACTTACAAAACAAACCAAAGTTATTTTCAAACAAGGGTACGGTACCATGATTATCCTCTGGTTTGGTATTGGGGAACATGCGTATAAATTTTGAAGAGATACATTGTTCAAGATATGCATGACTTAAGGATACCTTGACTAATTATTAAAATTCCTAAATCTGCCATCAGGGAGTTACAGGGATCTGAAGTAGGGATCATCCTTGTACCACCATACCAAAGTCTTTAAAAGTGTCAAGTAAATGATGGCAGGCTAGATATTGCACAAAAACCACAGTTTATAAGATTTAAATATAAACTATAAAGTAGCCTTCAGGGGGAACCTCAAGTAAAATAAGCAATAGTAAACAAGACTGACCTAAAGATTGAGAATATTGAACCAATTGACACCAAACAGTCAATGTTGGAGGAGCCATCAAGGGGGTCAAAGCAGACAATATACTTTCCTTGACGATCTTTCTCTACCTGTCAAAAAAAAAAAAAAAATTAAATACAAAGTTTAAAAGATTTTTATGCATTTACAATAATGTTTGAACTTTTTCCGAGAGTGCTTGTAGATGAGAGTGGAGCACAATGATCAGAAATCAACCTACTACTGTACTGTAATGGGGAAAAATGTGTAGAAAGTACAGGAGAGAGAGAGGAGACAGAGAGAGAAAAAAAAAAAAAAAATGATACAGTAGACAATCGCATCAATACATAACTATCAATAGGTCGTATCTCTGGTTACTTGAGGGTCCAGCCAACCAACATGTTGGTGATGCTTCTTGTGCCTCTGCTAGGACTAGCCATGATATATGCTAATACTATCCTTCTTGAAACGCTTATCCAGCAAGAGAATATTAGCCCATGTTTATAAAACTTCCTTACAATAATGAAAATTTAGCTTCATAAATTATTAACATCAATTGCACCTTTCTCAAGTTCGAATGTAACACTATTTAAAAAATAAATCTTGATAATATTCATTTCATTCGTTCTTTTTGAGAGGTCATTATTTGTAATTCCAGCCTTATACCTTTGATTTGTGTTATTTCAGATATGTAGGGAATCAAGTAGATTAAAGCGGGAAAATTAAAATAAAACATGATTTACCTACAGCTACTTCAATCTTTTTACTTTGTTACAACATTGTATCTAGGTCATTTTGTGTACAGTATTTTAATTTTACACTAAAATTTTGTAATTACAATATTACCTTTAGATTTATTTTCTTAACAGTTAATATTTTATTTAATTTAAATTACCTGTACAGTATATGCTATATCACTGCTATAACCTGCCATAATGCTATCTAAAGTATAGCAAGTTACAGTATTAGTAATAGGTCCGCTAACATATTAAGCTCTCAACCGAATGCTATCAAACATGCCATAAATTAAAATTTGTAGCTAGCATTTATGACAATCACCATATTATTTGTTGGCAGATTGCCTCTCCTGTATTCACCTAGTTGTATGCAGCTGTTCTCAATGGCAGTATGGAGTGGCATGGTGCATCTTCCACCATTTCTGTCACTGGAGTTTGTTTCTGATCCTGTGGTTATGTTCCTTTTGTAAAGATTTCTTTGTAATGTCATTTGAATCACTATACCAAGAGTGGGGAAACCTATCATACAAAGGCCATTTTTCATTTACCGAAGATTTCAAAAGGCCGCACATTGAATTATGCACTACACATTAAAATATGTCAAAAAACTTACAGATCTTAGTGTTTTCTTAATTTAAATTGCTTTCAAAAGGTCACACTGAGTACCATGAAAGGCCACAAGTTTCCCCTTCACTATATCATCCCTTCAGCCTTCATCTTGGCTCCCCCTTGTGCTTCACAATCTCTTGTTTTCACCTCTATCTGGCTATTTTTCCCTTTTGAGGTTTTCATGTTCATTCTGTCTTCTTACTTTTGGGGGTTCCCCTTGTTTCATGTGTGTGTACTGCACAACTTTTCGATCATCAAAAATCAATGGCAAAGGTTGGGTCTTCACCTTTCAAAGTGGTGCTTTGGCATTTGTTGCTAGTTTTCTATGGCTGCCAATTTGTCACTGTCCTGTGGTTGCTGTGTCATGTTTATGCAACCCCATGAGAGTTTGAATGACCATGCAGTTTGCTGGCCCCATGTTCATGGTGGCTTATTGCAGGGTCCATTTTTTTACCGAGGGTCTAGTGTGTTCAGTTGCACATGCCATCAGTACAGAATTGCTTTGGGCTCTTTCCATTGCCTTGTGGCTTGTTTAACTGACCATGATGGCAATTTCTTTAGTGTTAGGGTCTCTGTTTTTGAGCAGTTTTCCTACACAGCATCACACATCACTAATGGATCCATTGTACAAGTGCTGTGTCCCTGCGTGCTATTTGCAGCTTCTTCCCCGGCTCATGATCAGCCCTGTTTTACTTTTCTCCATGTGAGAACTCTTGGGAACTACAGAGTGGCTTCCCATTCCCACCCTTCCCCTTTTTCTAGTGGATTTGGGGATCATGCAATGGGAGTTATGTGAATGATGCAGTAGGCAACTCAAAGTTGCCATCTGGTGTTTATAGTGTCCAACTAGTGGCTCAACCTAGTTAACGATTGTTTACATTGTCTGCATTGCCTGCATTGCATTGAACTTCACAACCCAGGACAACATGATTTATAGCAGGAAGATCCTGTCTGTCACGGTTACTTAACAACTATGACAACCACAGAAGTGTAACGGTTCTATTGTTACGTAAAGTATGGTGACAAACACAGACACTAAGATACTATATATATATTTGGTCGAATATACAGAAGTACACAGGTGATACTTTGGTGTGAGTTGGGCGCACTGAGCGTCGGTACAGTATCTCGCAAGTGTCTGCTCTAGACCACTTGAAAGTAGACTCTGGTTAATGTTTGCTATTCTGCTGCTTATATGCTCGGGCAACGCCTTACCTCATTCATCTCCAAAGGTTGACAGGAATATTAACAAAGCATTTGGAGCGAGTATATTATTGGGATAATCTACTCGCTACAGAAGCCTTAGAAAAGCAAAATGCAGTTGTATACACAGACTTTGCAAAGGCATTCAACAAATGTGACCATGGAATAATTGATAGCCCATAAAATGTGTTCAATAGGAATAATGGGTAAATTGAAGAGGAGGATTTTCAAATTTGTCAAACAGAATGCAGGGAGTGACAGTCAATCTAGTAGGATCAAGCCCAAGTGCAGTGAAAAGCTATCCCAGGGCACCTGGGATACACCTGTATCCTAGCTTTATGTCACTCTTTGCAGATAAAGAATCAGCATGAAAATTGCCACTGTAGAAGACATTAATATTTGCCTGCAGATTTTCCAAAAATCTTCAATTGAGCAACTGAAAATAACATGATCTTTAAGTGGTGACAAGTTCCAGGTACTGCAGTATGATTAAAATGAACTTAAATGAAACACAGGGTACAGGACACTATCTGACCTACTCATAGAAGGAAAGCAACGTGTAAAAGATTAAGAATTATGATATCCGGCAACCTGACATTTAGTGAACATAACCCAGCAAATAGTGGCAGCCAGGAAAATGACAGGATGAATTATGAGAACTCAAATCCAGAAATCCCACAGCAATGCTAATACTGTACTATTTAAATCATTGGTGCTGTCCTGTCTTGAGTATTGCTCACTACTCTCTTCCCCTTTCAGGGCAGGAGTGTGTTCTCTGAATTAGAGGGAATACAGAGAACACATATGGTATGCATAGAAACGATTGAATCTTAAGTTATAGGGACTGTCTCAAAGCTCTCAAAATGTACTCTGGAAAGGAGAAAATGTTATCAAATAATATATACATGGAAGGTACTGAAGGGCCAGGTCCCAAATTTGCACAGTAGAATAACATACTGGAGTAAAAGATAAGGAAGGAAATGCAGAATAGAACCAGTGAGTAGGTGTGCTATAGAAAAATCTAAGAACTGAACAAATTAACAAATTGTGCATTGAGAACACTGTCTTGACATCAGAGGTCCACAGCTGTTCAACACCCTTCCAGCAAGCATTTGAAATACTGTATGGATATTTCAAGAGGCACTTTGAGAGGTTCTTGCAAGAAGTGCTGGACCAACTAGGGTGGTGTGGTGGATATGTGGGCCTGCAGGCCGCTCCAAGCAACAGCCTGTTGGACCAAGTTATCAAGTCAAGCCTGGCCTCAGGCCGGGCTCGGGAAGTAGAATTCTCGAAACCCCTCTCCAGGTATGCTTCAATTATCAAATTCTTTTAACTAGTGCAAGCTAATTTGCCTTGCCTTCCCCATTCATTTAGGGGTAGGGGGAGAGAGGTAGCTCATTGCCTACAGGAGCCTGAGCTCCCAGTTCTGGAGCAGATGTAGACACCCTCCTAACGACAATACAGTATGCAATGGTGATGTGGTATTAGCAACATTTAAGAGATGAAATGCATCTTACCTCAATTACAGTCTTGTTTTCCTCTGAGACTAGGAGGCAGGTGGTGTAGGAAGAGGTCAGCATGTTGATGAAGAGGTCATTGGCCAGTACATCCAGTTTTTTTACCTCTTCACCCTGCACATTCACATCACCAGCCAAACCATACCTGTCAAGAACAGGTATGGTTTATAGTAGTTTTGGATATGCTGTGGATGAGGTTATAACTCAATCTGGCTCACCAGGCCTGCATGTGACCATTCATTTACACATTTATATATCTATATATTTACACAGTATATATAATTGAAGGTACAATAGGTTTTTAAATTACATACATTGATCAGGTGGTTTATTCTTGCAAAGTTACTAACAACATTTTGGGCAGGTCCTTAAGCCAGCAAATCATTATGACAATCTAAGTTCCTCAAGCCTGACCATTGCTAACTAAAATACAGGGCCCCTGAGCTGCTGCCTGACCATTATAAACAGCTGAGAATACCAACTACTAACATTTAAAAATATACAATAGTGTTAAAAGAGTGGGCTTATTTATGAACAGGAGAATAATCTTAACTGGGGAAACCATTAGGCTAGGACCAGCCCCCTGGGAATTAGTTCTAAACTCAACATAAAAGTACTGCTATCTAGGAACAATGTCTAACTAGACAAGAGGGAGGGGGTAGTAAACTAGTGAAAAACTTGCTATTAACCATTGAAAACCCCTAAATAAGATCACAATACTCTACCACATCCTACTTTACTTTAAATCTGACTCCAAATAGGTAGAAGAGATGTACACACAGGTACTAACAAACTAGTGGTGTGGCCTATGGTCCCTTAAGGGCCAGGCCAGTCCAAACTTAAACCCAAGGTAAAACACATGCTCCACTTGCCAATACCTGGGTTCATACTTACAGGATCCTTAGGTTCTAGCCAGGGTAATACATGAAACTATACTATAAAGAGGAGGGATGCACATTACACTAGGTTACTTATTTGAGAACTTTAGAGAAGTTAAGAGTAGGAAGGAGAACACCCACATCCAGTTTCCACCATACCGAAGGAATGGACCAACAAATGGTTGTCAAGAGTAACCGGAGCAAATTTAAAGTAATAAAGGTAGGTGTAGGGAGCAGGAGGCCAGATACAGATACATTTGGGGGGGATGACATTTTTCAAGATTTGGAGAAAGACCTAGGGGATTGATATCTCTCCAGACCTGTCCTCTGAAGCCCATATCAAGAGGATATCAGCAGCATATGCCAGGCTGGCCAACGTAAGAACGGCCTTGAGAAACTCTTAAAAGAATCATTCAGAACCTTTTATACCACTTATCAGACCAATCTTTGAGTATGCAGCTCCAGCATAGAGTCCATATATCAAGCACATGACTAATTTGGAGAAGGCTCAGCTAGAGGTTTGCCACCAAACTAATACCAAAGCAGAGGTTTATGAGCTACGAGGAAAGACTATGAGCACTATACCTCACACTGCTGGAAGACAAGAGTTAAGTAAGACATGATCACAAAAGATTTTCAGAGGAAATGATAGGGTAGATGCAGTTTAACAAGGGGTACACGCACTAGGGGACACGGGTGGAAATTGAGTACCCAAATAAGCCACACGCGCATTATAAAGAACTTAAGTGTCAGTAATTAAATGGAATGCATTAGAAAGGGCTTCGAGTTGGGAAAATACCAATTGTCAAATATAGATACTGTTCTTAAACTATTCCCCCATTTTGCACCCGCAAGATAACGATTTTATTGGTTGACAAATGGACAGCTTGAACGAAAGCGGTGGAATTTGAGGGTAAAAAATAGCATGAACAGTGCTTTGCGGCATGCGCCACGCGCGCAGAAGGTAAGGGGTACTTAAACGAGGGCAGGAGAGGTCACGAACACGGGAGACATCTCCCGTCACGCAGCGTGCAGTCGCACCTCCACAGATCACCAGTATCAGCTCTTGATACTGGTAATGGCTCAAAAGGGCCACCACTTACGGGCTATTCATGCCCGTGCCACCTTTTGGGTGGTTTAATCTTCATCAATCAATCAGGTCACGAACTCACGGAAGACATCTCCCGTCACGCAGCGTGCAGTCGCACCTCCACAGATCACCAGTATCATCTATTGATACTGGTGATGGCTCAAAAGGGCCACCACTTACGAGTGGTGGCCCACGAGACTTTGCAGTCTCCGTGGTGTAGTGGTAAGACACTCGCCTGGCGTTCCGCGAGCGCTGTCATGGGTTCGTATCCTGGCCGGGGAGGATTTACTGGGCGCAATTCCTTAACTGTAGCCTCTGTTTAACGCAACAGTAAAATGTGTACTTGGATGAAAAAACGATTCTTCGCGGCAGGGGATCGTATTCCAGGGACCTGCCCGAAACGCTACGCGTACTAGTGGCTGTACAAGAATGTAACAACTCTTGCATATATCTAAAAAAAAAAAAAAAAAAAAAAAAAAAAAAAAAAAAAAAAAAAAAAAAAAAAAAAAAAAGCTATTCATGCCCGTGCCACCTTTTGGGTGGCTTAATCTTCAATCAATCAATCAGGTCACGAACTCGCAGAAAAACCATTACTTCACTATCTTCTGGAATGTGAAGCAACCAACGACCTTAGAAGAGCTTTAAGAGTCCCTGAATCTTGTAGCTATACTATAATTTTAGTGGAAATTTTCTACACAACTCGTCATTTTCTATTTGATGCAAATAAACTGTTTACATAAAAAGATTTAAACACTACTTTCTTATCCAACACCTATATAACAATTTCCCCAATTATAATCTCATAACAGTCGGGGTCTATCATAATAGGAAATGACGTAAAAGTTCCTTACATTCTCTAGGTAAACAAGGGTATTCCCCACTCCTCACGCCACAAGGCTCCTACAAATAGGAAGCTATGGTGGTAACAAACCCATACTAATATTTAACAGCTGTCCTCCCTTGCTGCCGGCCCATTCCTGGCTCATTAAGTATGTACGTAAGCGTCCTTTATCTGATAACGTGGTAGAGTCCATACTCAAGAGTGCTTAACGTTTTAAACTGACGCTACTGACAACGGTTCTGTGGCACTAGATATAACGCTATGTCAATTTGTCGTTCCTGACAAAAGCAGGTAACTTAAATACCAACGCTAATGTATATATGTATAAAATAAACGTGTTATAGTAGGCATCCATCAGTCTTAGGAGACTGGAATTGTGCTCTGGTTGTTGGTCTGGCGTGGCCTCAGGGTGCCAAGCCAGGTCAGGCCGATATGGAGAAGCCATCACCCCAGGTCCCCACTCCCCTCCCTCTCTACGGCGCCGAAAGTCTCCAATGGAAAGGCATAATACCTAGGTTACAAGGTGTTGAACCAGAGAGGTTGCCTTAGGAACTCTGGAGGGTGCTCTAGAATAGTTAGCTAACTGGGGACGGGATAACGGACTAGAGAGAGCTGTTTCCCCCGGCCTCGTTAGTTAACTGGGGGGTGGAATAATGGACAAGATAGAGCTATTTCCCCTACCCCCCGTTACAACAAAAGCAGGTAACTTAAATACCAACGCTAATGTATATATGTATAAAATAAACGTGTTATAGTAGGCATCCATCAGTCTTAGGAGACTGGAATTGTGCTCTGGTTGTTGGTCTGGCGTGGCCTCAGGGTGCCAAGCCAGGTTAGGCCGATATGGAGAAGCCATCACCCCAGGTCCCCACTCCCCTCCCTCTCTACGGCGCCGAAAGTCTCCAATGGAAAGGCAAACGCCAATACGATAAGTTCAAGCGCCGTCGCAGGAACTGTCAGGACGAGATTGTAAGCAACAACGAACTGCCCCAGGGGCTAACCATGTTCACAGAGTAATCACACCAACGTCATGTGTCCATTAGGAGGAGCCATGATGAGGGTTCCTACCACTCGCCGCATAGAAGTGGAACCACCCCTTTGCGGCGAACCAGCCTATGCGGTGGGAGCGCTCACCACATAGGTTCTAACCCTCATCACGGCTCCTACGGATTTTCCCACCTACCATGTTATCTGCAACAAGTCAAATTTTTCCTTTTATATTCTTAAAAATCCAGAAACTCCAGACCATAAGAGTACACAGTATTGTAAATACCTCCTGGAACACGAGTTCTTCCTACTCGTTTTCAGTGACCAAGATCTGTCCTATCTTACCTATCTTTAGTATCATACATTGCTTGTTCCTTAACAGTTTTCATCCTGATATGTATGAGAGGTATTTTGGGTTTGGACTTTGCTTTAGCTGCAATGTCTCATATTCATGTTTCACTTCATTTCTCATAAGATACGTCATTTAGAAACCTAAATTGGGACTTTTTCAAGGCATTTTACACAATCCTCATTAAACCAATACTGAAATATGCTGCACTGCTCTAAATCCGCACTTTATGAAGCATAAAATGGAATTTTTTTTTTAAATTAATGCTAGAACCATCTTTATGTTATCTTTAGATGATTTGGGGCTTATCGTCCCCGCGGCCCGGTCCTCAACTAAGGGGGAAATAGACAAGGTAAAAAGAACAGCCTCTTGAATTGAATGAAAATAGGATGAGGACAAATGTAAGCTGGAAATGCAAGAAAAATCTTACCCCTTTGTGTAATCAAAGGGGTAAGAAAGCTTTGTTGTGGAAGCGGCTGCCATCCACAACATTACGGCCATATTTAATCATCAGGTAACTGGTACAAGGCTAGTAAGCAGGCATGAAGAGCCTAATCTCTTTCCCGTAGTTACCGATGTGATGTTACTTGATACAGCTTATATGCCCATCTTTCCCAGTTTCAGATCTAGAGTATGCGGCTTATTTGATTAAATACATGCATATGCTTGGAGTTTTCTATGAACTATCCCAATATAAGAGTCGTACTTTAATATCCATACACAAGATTTTTATATTATGGGTGAACGTAAAATATGAGTGACACCGTATAGATGTGCACGCTACGCAGTCTGGCTAAGATCGACCCTATATATTGTCATTTGCCAGAAATCTCATTTCATTATGTAATGCTAGGAGGCTTTTAATAATTAGATGGACCCCACTGGAGAGTGATCACTGACAACTTCGCTCGTAACAAGGAGGATTTTTATAAATCTAACAAGCTTCGTCCTCTTCAACGGTATACTTCACATGTATGCGTCATCTAGATGATCACGCCACCTTGGCAAGTATAGATCATGACCATGATATACAAGGCAACGTGGTCCAACCACAATACTTTACCAGCCAGTGGAATTGCTCTGTTGAACACACTACCAAAAACAGCAGCAGTTGCTCTCCAGGAATCCCAATTCGCCTCCATTAAAGCAGCCACTTAACCGATCACACTCATCCCGCAACTTCTAGCTTTCGCCGTCTACAATTTTAAAAGGCTACCGTTTAATCTTGTCTGAGTAGAGGAGGCTGCGAGCTAGGGGGTGCAAGAGCTGCGAGCAAAGGGGGGTGCAAGAGCTGCGAGCAAAGGGGGGTGCAAGAGCTGCGAGCTGTGGGGGGGGGGGGGTGCAAGAGCTGCGAGCTAAGGGGGGAGGGTGCAAGGGCTGCGAGCTAGGGGGGGGGTGAAAGGGCTGAGAGCTAGGGGGAGGGTGGGCGCAAGGGCTGAGAGCTAGGGGGAGGGTTGCAAGGGCTGAGAGCTAGGGGGGGGTGGGTGCAAGGGCTGCGAGCTAGAAGGGGTGGGAGCAAGGGCTGAGACCTTGGGGTGGGTGGGTGCAAGGGCTGCGAGCTAGGGGGGGGGGTTGGTGCAAGGGCTGAGAGCTAGGGGGTGGATTCAGTATTATAGACTGGATAAGTAACAAGTTACCGCCACCAACATTAAGTCGATACTTAACTTGCACTTGGTGAAACAGTCAGTAAGACGCTTGCAGCTCACAATACGGAAGACTGTTTCATGACGGCTTCACGAAGCCCACAAATCAGTACAGTATAAAGCCGGCGAGCGAGGAAATGGGAGAAAAGACAGCGTGAACATGTCGCAAAAACAAAACTTAATCAATGCAGCCTAGTTTACATATATTTATATAATCGAGCCAAATGTACCATGCAAAAGTAAGATAATCAGAACTACTAATCCAATATGATCATAAATACACAGTATTGCCATTAAATTGTAATGGATACGTGAACAGTATTAGGACAGGAATTTTCCAAACCACTGTACCAATCATGGATGGGTTACACGCCGATACTTCTTGAATCTGAGTTTTCTTCGCCGCTCCTTCTAGAGTCTTATACAAGTGTAACAAAATCAAATTCTCAATACAAAACCACACCAAAACTCTTATACCCAAGAAACAATAGAAAGGGAAGTTACCCCTTATCCATCATTACCGGGTCTGTTACCTTAGTGTTAGTATGTTGCATGAGCCAGTATCTGGTCCATGTAATTACCCAAAGCCTCCTTCATTATGTAAGTAAGAACTGTGGCATTTACTCTTTGTAATGTTGGTGCTGAATGTAGAACATGAACACTTACTCTAATAATTTGATAACTAGACGAAACTAGAAGGTAGCTGATGAAGTCCACTATCCAAGTGACAATGTTGAGGCTTTGAGTAATTAGATGATCCAATTGTTAGAAAATTATATTTTAGCGTAAAAATTTTTTTCCGTGTTCTACATTCAGCACCAACATTATAGTGAGTAAAGGTCGGCCAGACTTTGCATAGGAGTAGTTGCCCTCTGCATAAACAACCCATTTTCACCATCTCTTTGGTGGAGGTCTACATCCAGGGGACCACCAACAAATTGTTCCATCGTCACCTGACTAGGTTCAACACCAAGTTCAGGAAGCCACTTAAGGATGACATTTAATGGCGTGAAACAAATGTTGGCAGTGCTTGACATTAAACATTTGATCAGCTCTACATCCTAGGTGGCACCAACTACAAAGATATAGAGTGGAGCACAAGTAATATCTAATTTAACTGGATAACTCATTTCTGTCTGACAAAGTCGGAAGATGGTAACTAAAGAAGTTTATTGATGTCAAGTTAAGCGGTAATGTTATATATGAGAAACTTTACATGTGCAAGCACTTGGGCTGAACGGAAGAGTGACGGTCTCGCTTCATGTGGGTCGGCGTTCAATCCCCGACCTTCCAAGTGGTTCCGTCCCATCCCAAATCCTTATCCCTTCCAAGTGCTACATAGTCTTAATGGCTTGGCACTTTCTCTTGATAGTTGCTTCCTTCAAGTATTGTATGTATGTGTGGCGACATGTCTACATGAATGAGGGACGTGGGAATGGTTGCAGTACATTGCGTGGCTATGTAATAGGTGAAGCATAACTGATATGGGTATTTATATGCAGAGTTACAGGTATGGCAAGAGAAGCTGTTTAATTTACGTGGTAGGTGGGGATAATTTGATAACAGTGGCACACAGTGGTGGATGGGGTATTTAACATTTGCCAATTCTATCAGAAGGAAGATCGTGTAATTAGGATATATACATTACAGGTGGAGACGAACCAAGTTAAATGTGAAACGTCACGTTGGAGAATTATAAAGTACATTTTAAGCAAGCCGCGCCATTAACCAGGAATGGCGAAAAAATTTCAGTGGCAAATGAAGTTAAGTTCAGATGAAGGTAAAATAGGACAAAGTAACAAGGGCTTTTGTGATTAAACCACACGAGGTGGCACGGGCATGAGTAGCCCGTAGGTGGTAGATGTTTTGGAGTGAATGTGGTCTTGGGTCGTGGCACTTCCAAGTGTGTCTGGGTCCCAGCAAGGTGATTGATGAAGATTAAGCCACAAGAGATGGCATGGGCATGAATACCGATTCATGGGGATGAAATTATCACACTGCATTTATAGTTAGTGTGTGTGGGGGGGGGGAGGGAGGAAGGTGGGTGTTGACGTGATACAGTACATTTCAGTGGTCAGATTTAGTATTATTGAAGTTCTTTTTATGTTTTGCCGTCTGCTTATAGTTTAAAGTATAAAACAATTATGGTTGTGGGAACTTAAGATAAATTCAGAACCCAAAACTTGCTAATTTTATTTATTCAGATAATTTAAATGACTTCAGGTAAGGGCCTTTTCTAAACTTAACAATAACATGCTACTTACGTAGATAAAGTTTATAATTGGCCTTTAGTCAGACGGCGATAGGTCGTTAAACGGTGTACGTGCGTAACCTTGCAACCACACGAAGGGGGGGGGGGGGGTGAGGGGGAGCAGTTTCCCCATCATTGATTGCGTTAATAATTATAAAGTTCTTTTTAAACACGCATATATTGTGCGCAGATACTCCTTATAATTTGTAAAAGTCAACAAATACAGAACGTGAACCAGAGCCAAATCTGAAACACAGTGGGTGCGCCTAGCAACTACATCTGCCACTCCCATGGAAGGGCAGCGGTGATTGGCTAGCGAGTGGGAACACACTGTACCGATTGGTGGAAGCTGGGGGTGTGGCCCCGCGTGTACCTCAAGGTCACCCAGCCTCTGTGCCCAATGACGTCACAAGGACTATACACACCAAAACACTTACACAACCAGCGAGTTTTTTGTTTTATTATTTTGTTACGGAAACGGTACACAATCTGTAGATGAATCGCAGAAATATTAGTCTTACATATTGAACCCAATAATCTGTAATGCTGCACCAAGAACAATTTTCATTTATTTTCACTCTGGACAGAGGCATAAGGTAAGAAGACATGCCCAAATGTCTCAGTCTTGCGCGGAAATCAAATCAGGGACCTATCTGTTGTAAACAAAGCCGACTACTCTAGAAAATACTTTATATTCATTAAAAATAGTTATTTTACCATCTTTTGAACAATTATGTAACTTTTCACAATTATGTAACCGAGCATCAACACCGCCGTGGAACACCAAGCCTAGGAGGGTGTAGGGCTCCAGTAGACGGTCAGCAACATGTGATTAATAAAGATTAAGCCACCCAAGAGGTGGCACGGGCATGAATAGCCCGTAAGGTTAAGATGTAACCAGCATGCTCACTATATATACACACGGGTGGTAACATGTAGCAACATACCGTTTAATGACACGTGCATGTGGCAACGTACAGGACTGTGATCCCGTACGAACCGTTCCCAAACTAGTTTCACTAATTTTTGCAGTTTACTAGTTTGTCATTAGTCTTGTTCCCTCCACGGCTAATTTGACTAATTTCGTATCCATGGATATGGAAATTACATGACTAGGGACCTATCCCTAGACGTGACTAGGGGGACCTATCCCTATACTTGACTAGGGGACCCAGTTAATTATACCTTTTCCTTGTAGCCGACGGTTCCGAAGGACTAATGGTGATTAAGTTTACATTATCTTATAGTTTGGTATTCTTCAAGGCTTTGCTATTTTGGAGTCGTGTTCATCAATACACCATTATAATAGTTAGTGTTAAAGAGTTTGATAGTGAACAGTGCATCTCTGGGTAGTGGAACTACGTGCGCGTTGCCATGGCGACCAAGGACTGGTCGACCTCGGCCACTTGTACACAACTCTCACTATCTTCCCGCACGAGGAATAGTGACAAGTTATCTCCTGATAACTGTAGGCCTAAGTGGTGAGTGTGTGTGTGTGTGGGGGGGGGGGTGTGTGTGTGTGTGTGTGTGTGTGTGTGTGTGTGTGTGGTGTGTGTGTGTGTGTGTGTGTGTGTGTGTGTGTGTGTGTGTGTGTGTGTGTGTGTGTGTTGTGTGTGTGTGTGTGTGTGTGTGGTGTGTGTGTGTGTGTGTGTGTGTGTGTGGTGTGTGTGTGTGTGTGTGTGTGTGTGTGTGTGTGTGGTGTGTGTGTGTGTGGTGTGTGTGTGTGTGTGTGTGTGTGTGTGTGTGTGTGTGTGTGTGTGTGTGTGTGTGTGTGTGTGTGTGTGTGTGTGTGGTGTGTGTGTGTGTGTGTGTGTGTGTGTGTGTGTGTGTGTGTGTGTGTGTGTGTGTGTGTGTGTGTGTGTGTGTGTGTGGGGGGGGGGGGGGGGGGGGATATTACTGAAAATTTATTTTTTCTTGCAAAGTATGAAATATATGAAGGCGTCTATTTACGACTTTAAGAGATTGAAAAACTAATACCTGGTGCGCTCTCCAGAATTCCCTTTTTCTGAATTGGCGGACTTCTGCTGCTAGGTTATATAAGGGCAGCCGCATGGCCAGCCGTCCCCTCCCGTGGTGGCCACTATGCAAGGCATGGTGGCATTGCCTTGCAACTTCTTAACAGTCTTTTACTGTATTTAGGCTTATTACCAGCGAAGGCTAATTACTACTCGTCTGTTCCTTGTGGTACAATAATTCACATTTGCTATATTACCATTTACTTTATAATTTACCCTTACAATTAAATATTTACTCCCCTGGGCGAGTCAATCGGGCTACCCAAAGATAAATATTTTATCTTAAACCCATTCTATGCGGAGTCAGCTGTCAGCAGAATACAAAGGTGCCACTATACAACAACCCGTCCTACTAATGGAGCGTCGCATTTTGAAGCACACTTTACCCAAAGCCAAAACTTGTACTGGAAGATGGTAGCGGCTCACGAAATTGACACCGTCCTGTTTTGGGTCCTCCGGTAGGTTGGGGGGGGGGGGGGCACTTCAGTACGACGGTGTCTTTACGTTGGGAAACTTTTGGACGGCCTGAAGTACTTACCTTATTCTAACAATTTAGTAATTAACTTTTCTTTAACTTAATATAGCTGTGCATAGGCTCATTAGTTTACTACAGTTATTATGCACCCCCATACTCATCCTGTGGGCAGTAGTTGAAAAGCATGATAGTCCGACACCAGCAACAGACATTACGTAAAAGGAAATGTGCCCAACCATTTGTCAGGCCCGGGATTCGAACCCGGAATTCTCTACGGTGCGTCGAGAAAGAATCCAACTGTACTACCGGGACATTAAACATACGTAAAAAAAATAACTTCAATAAAA